ATGGGTTGTCTGCAAATAAGTTCTAAGTAAACCCACTGAAATTAATGGACCTAAGTTAGTCATGTCCATTAATTTCAAAGGGCATGTTCTAAGACTGATGTTGATACAAACTGTTATTGATATTGTAATGTTATATTTAGCAGTGCAATCATGTGCAGGGCTCTTCTAAGTATCTTATGCTGAAGTGAGAACATGATATCCTTGCTCCCTTGCTAAACATATGACCCTGTTGTTGTCATATGGTTTTATTACATACATGATTGCCATGGAAGGATTTGGAGAACACCAAAAGCAGTGCTAACGGTTAAGGTCTTCTCAGTGTAGGGATTCAAGACCCCCTCCCACACACAGCATGGTTGAAGGACCTTAAATTGGAATACAGAATCGACAAATGGAAGATCCATCATTATTATGAAAAGAAAGCAAATCAGGGATTTACAGCTAAGGAGCCCCCAAATGGTGTGGTTTTCTATTTTGAATTTCAAAATTTAGTGAACTTTTAATTGCCATCGTTTGGATTTGGATTTCAAAGTTTTGACCTTAGTCATCCCAGAACTGAAATTTGACCTCCAAATTCAAACTTTGACCATTTTGACTGATTGAGGCTGCAGGCTATCAAAGAAGTCCCATTCATCTCAGTGGAGCTGAATAAAGGAGCATAAAATTGTACTGCAAATAAACAACAGAAGCTAATAATACAAAAAAAGGTACAGAAATCTATTGCAAACCTTACTGCAATCTATCAATTAAATACTGCCAAAGCTGATAGCTGCTTGCCAGTTTGTGTCAGAAACTAATTGCTACTGCAGATCAGCTGTCAGAGAATATTCGGGAAACGTTTAGCAGAAAACTCACAGGAAATAACATGAAGGGGCAGTTCATTACAAGTCTGTGGGAAGATGGCCTGCAGAAATAGTAGATCACTGGGGAAGATGAAAGTTGATGTTGAATGTTCAACGTCTACCACTCCGAACTTGAAGTCAAGGTTTTCTGCCCCCTGGTCTTGCTATCATCTCCAGACTGCTGTTTCACATTACTGAAAGACACCTTCTAAAACACTATACATGTCTATCACAATCTTGATTCTTATAAAGCAGTGATTGCTTAGATCGGCCCTACAATTAGTCAGAGAGAGTTGACTGCCTCAGGCAACAGATTTGGGGTGTCAAGGAAAGTCAACAAATTATTAGTTATTTAGTTCATTATTGTTGTATTTTCACTGGCAAGAAGGAGGAGAGAAGTTTGTATGTTATTTCTCATGTGCCAAAAATAATCAGTGCTATTTTTTGAGGAAAAAATGGTGCAGGAACTCACCATGAACACTTCTCTCATAATGGCAATGGTGCCCACCTGAGAGGTGCAGGAACTAAGTTCCGGCTGAAAAAAAGGCCCTGACTTGTATGGCTTTGGATTAAAGGTTTTCACAAAACAGTAAGATATAGAAAACTAATGTAAATAAAAAACAAAACAAAGACATCTACAAAAATTACAAATAGAATACAGAGTCCTCACTTAGAGGTAGTTCTTAACCCTTACCACCCCAGAAAGTAGTAGCCCATCCCAGCTTTCACATAGGATATTTCCTTTCTCCTCCCAGCCGCTCACCCTGGGGGGACCAATATTTCCCTGCCTCGCACCCAGGGTCCCTCCATCAGCCATCTACCACACCCATGGGTGTACAATCCCTGGGCCCCAATCAATGCCCTGATCAGAGGTCTCCAAAGAAGAAAGAGAAGAAAATAAAAAGAAAGAGAAAGAAGCAGGACGGAAAGGGGGGAAAGGGAAAAGAAACAATAAAGAAAGAAAGGACTTCCAATTTTCCATATGCCTGTTACATATACAAAAGTTCAGTCCATTATAAAATTGAATACAGTGGTACCTCGGGTTACATACGCTTCAGGTTACAGACTCCGCTAACCCAGAAATAGTACCTCGGGTTAAGAACTTTGCTTCAGGATGAGAAGAAAAATCATGCTCTGGTGGCGCAGCAGCAGCAGGAGGCCCCATTAGCTAAAGTGGTGCTTCAGGTTAAGAACTGTTTTAGGTTAAGAATGGACCTCCAGAATGAATTAAGTACTTAACCCGAGGTACCACTGTACTGTGTGTGTGTGTGTGTGTGTGTGTGTGAGAGAGAGAGAGAGAGAGAGAGAGAGAGAGAGAGAGAGAGGGAGAGAGAGAGAAAAGAAATGTAGGAAAATACAAAAATGTGTTTGACCAACCTTGGTGTTCATCCCCACCTACTGTATAACAGGGTGGGGAAATCTCAGACTCCAGGGTCAAATGCAGTCCTCCAGGCTACTATATCTTGCATCAGGAGTCTTCCCAGGCCAACCACCCTCCTGTGCTACACCTGTCACCAGTTGTTCTTTGCACCCTCCTTGACTGTTTTTGCCTTGGCTGGAATGTGTTCTTGAACTCTGATAATGACTAGATGGAGGATCGTGAGGAGTGGGGGAGTCCATAGAGAAAGTAGGCTACTGTACAATGGCAAAATGAACATGCATTGCTCTGCTCATGCCTCTCGCCCTGCCCACCCCTGACATACTGCCCTCAGAAGGTTGTTCAGAAAGGAAGGTGGTCCTTGAGCTAAAAAAGTAAATGAATGTTGGATATATTCCAGTAAGGGAGAAGTCCTGTGTACAAGAAGTCCCATTCAACCTTGGGACTGCTGCTGCTCTTCCTAAGCCTGTCAATGGGAAAACAAGCCTTGAAATAGTGTTCTACACTGAATTTCCAGGTCACATGTCTGAGCTGAACCCTCTTAGGATCCAGCCTACATCTCCCACAGCCCTACCTGCATCACACCCCTTTTAGAGAACTTACACTGGTCTCAGCAAAGCCAGCTGTGGCTCGGTCAACTGATCCCCAGCTGAGCCATGTATCTTAAGTTGAGCTGGAGTTGGGAACTTAATGCCGCCCGAGGCCAGCTGAGCCAGGAATCAGCCAGCTGAGCCAAAGATCCAATGCATCATAAGCTGCCCCACCTGACAGATCTTCTCCATAGGATTGCCCCTTTAGTGTAGAATGCAACCAAGTAGAATTACTGTATTGAATAGATGGTGCAATATCTGTTATGATTATTTTCTAAGTATCCCCTGATGTACATATCTAAAAAACTCCAACCAATAATACTACATCATATACAGAGATCGTCAACACTGACACACCAACATCTCAGCTGAATGGTTTTACAGTGAATTTTATTATGGTTATTTGGTTTGCTTTCGTCCACAACGTCTCCTTTTATTATTATTTTTTAAAACATGTGATTGCCTATAAAATTTGGAGAGTCTTACTCTCAGAATATACTCCTCATTTCAAGGGAAAGGTGAAATGAAAAGTGTGCAACATTCTAAAGCAGCAATCTGCAATTTGCCGGTCCAAAACCTTGGTAAGGTGCCTGGGGATTCAAAGTTGGTACCGAACTCCATTGAGATTATCCTGGATGGAGAAGACAGACCCGATGGGATGAACAGTGAGATTTCAGTGAACAGACTGTGAGATTTAAGTGGCATTAAGGGAGCAATCTTTTACACACAAGAAGCCGGCATAAAGGAAGCTGCTGTAAATTAAGTTGATGGAAAGTTACACCAGATCCAAATCCTGTTCAAAAGTGGGGCTGCTCCTCCTGCTCTGCATAAGCCTGGCAGAAGGAAAACACTTTTAAAAGAGTGTTCTATGCCCAGGTTGCCAGGTCACAGGACTGAGATGAATGGGTTTAGGAACCAGCCTAAGTCCCCCCTCTGGTCCTGATTCCATCATGAAAAAGCCAGATCCCTTTTGGGAAACTTACACTGCCTGCTTCAGTCAGCTGAGCAAGTCACACCAGCATATTTTGGGCTGAGCCATGGTTGGAGGCATAACACCAGCTGAGCTAAGAACCAGCTGTCTGATCCACAGTTCCATTGTATCCTAAGCTGCGCATCCTGGGGGATCTCACCGTAGGATTTCCCTCTTATCCATCCATTCCTACCTACTGCAGAAGGATGTTGGGAGACCAGTTAAATTGATGATTTCAAAGCACTTTACAAATTAAAAGTGTCAGATAAGCATTTGATAATAGAAAGAGTGCTCTTTCTCAGCAGATGATATGCTCCAGTGGAAGAGGGTGAAGGGGTGAAGAAAGGTTTGCCTGAATAGCTCTCCTTTGATTCATTGTCAGTGTCAAGAAATAATTCTGTTCTCTGTAGGGAAAATTGGTATAATTTGACAATGAGCATTTGGGTCTCCAGAATGTTTAGTTTTCAAGGAGCGAGGCAGTCAGTTTTAAAAGCCTCTTTTGACTTAACAAGAAAATTGCATCTTTTTTATTTCCTGTAACATTGGCAACTCTTGATATACCCCTAACAAGTAAATTACAGCTGAAGCAGGATTAAAATGTTGTGACATTGCAGTTGGAGATCTGAGCCAATGGAGCTTTGATGGCAGTGTTCTGGAATACTGATATTTCTGCTGTGTCCTTTACGGTGAAAGAAATGTTGCATTTATCTGTCAACATACAACAAATATTTATTTCCGCTGAAACTTACTTGCCGCAATCCAGCTCAGGAGACACATGTATACAAATAGGCTTATGCATTTGTGCCACTTCCTGGATTGGGAACAACAGCCATAAATGGGCTGCGTATTCAGAAGGACAGATAGAGTACTGCATCACTTGCAATGGGTTGCAATTCCTGATGTGCAATCAAATCTCCATCCTCATGCTTGTGCAACTAGCCATGCGGCTAGAGTTGGATCGGGGCCATTAGACATCTAACGATAATCCTCAGGTTTTAATCACACTTGGTCTGATTTTCATTTCTCAAAGCTTCAAAGAGGAGAAGCACTTTATAACGTTTATTGATATAAATAGAAATGGACCTGGGAGACAAGTATATTTGTGACGTGTCACTGAGCCTGCATAACATGCCTTATTGCTGGATATGCTACATTAGCTATCTCTGTGTTTGCCTTGATCTTTGACAATGAAGGCATTCCAGAAAGGCTGGAACTTTTAATTAGAGACCTGCACAGCTTTCCTTCTTACTAGTGTAATCATTAAATTGATTTTTCCAGTCCATCATGTAATTGTTCCAGCGAAGGAATCCTGCTTTCCACTCTCGTTCTGCTTCATCAATATTGCCTGTAAAACATGAAATGGGTGGCATTAATCTAAATTTAAATCTCTTTGTACATTAATTGAAAAATAATTCTGATTACCAATGCCATTTTCCTCTAAATACACTACACAGCACTACACCCTCCCCTTTGTCACCTGATTTATTGCAAATTCGAAAGGACAACATTTTATCTCTAGATCTTGAGATAATCGGTTGAAGTGAATAATTATTCTTACAGATCAATGTAGAGTATCATATGGAATTTCATTTTCAATATTTACACCCCTTTGACATTTTCCAAGCAGTGTATAATGGATAGGCACCTAGTAACTTGGATACAGATATTGGCTTCTAATTAGGATGGGGACCTTATGGCCTTCCAAATGATGTTGGACTCCATCTCCCATAAGCCGCAGACCGCATGGTCAGTGGTCAGGGATGATAGGGACTGTAGTCCAACAATACCTGGAAGGTCACAGTTTCCCCATCTTTGAACAAGGGAGACGGAATGGATTTCCTTCTGGAAACAAAACAAATAAATTCATCACCTATTCCCAGTTGCAGAACAGTGTCCCAAATATAGCAACAATGTGTTAAAAACAAACAAAACAGAAGTCAAAATGGACCTGAAAAAGAAAAGTCTTATTTGTTCAGTATGTTTGATAATTAAAACAGGTGGAAACAGACAATCAGGTCCATGTATCCAAAGCAGTGACCAGAGGATGAATAACCACTGTGAGGAGTATAGGGAGATGAAACTCCATGGTGCACCTGTGGCAGCAAAACCGGAAAACCTTCATCTGCCTCAGGTGAAACAAAACATGTCTCTCCCATATCGGTCTCTACAGCCACAGCAGGCGCTGCAATTCTTCAACAGTTTGACTTAACCCTCAAAGGCTCACTCCTCCATTGTCTCCCGGGACAGACGGATGCTAACAACAAAGCAGCTGTACAGAGTCACTAAGAATATGCAATAACAAGCACTGAGAAACAGCCCTGTTATCACAAACAATAGCAAATCAGTTAAAGCACTCACCACACCTGCGAGAATCCTGGGACCTGTAATTTACCCCTCACACGGCACCCTTAACAAACTACAGCTTCCTGGATTATTTTGGAGGGAATGAGCTTTAAATGTATGCTACGTACTCAGCCTTAGTTGTAGGATATGAAATAGGAATAGGGTAAGCATCCATAATATTATCCAGTCAAGAATAGCTCTCTGAGCTGCCTAAACAGGTTGATAATTATCTATTGTTATTGCTCTCTGGAAGCTCTGACGTGGTGTTTTAACCTTAGATCACATGAGAGGTATTGAATTGCAAGTTCATCTTGGTTCTCATGCTCTATGGAAGTAAGGACATGTAAATGACCCTCTCCAGTGAGTGAATACAGCTCCAGGCAAAATGGAAACTGTAAGGAGAGACAAACCTCTTATTTTAGATCTGTTTGAAGTATTTCATATTTTATTTCTAAGATGATGAGCCTGTGCTAGACTGCACAAGATATTGTATGGAATCATTTGGATGTATCTTTGATGCTTTTGTTCTGCTTTGAAGAAAGTTCGACAAGTAAAGTTTTGAACAATCTAATGGGTCAGGGTTGTTGTTTTTTGCATCCAGTCACTTCAAGTTGCGCAATATTGATATCTGCAACATTTAGGGAGCAATCCTATGCACAAGAATCTGGCATAAAGCAAGCCAGTATAGTTTGAGCTGCTATAAAGTTACACCAGATCCAAGAACTTTTTAAGAGTAGGACTGCAGCTACTGCGCCACCTAAGCCTGGCAGAAGGAAAACAAGTCTTTAAAGCAGTGTCCTATGCCAGGTTGCCAGGTCATGTCACTAAGCCGAATGGGCTCAGGATCCAGCCTAAGGCCCCCTCAGTCCCACTTGCCCAACACATCCCCAGAACCGCCACCCCTTTGGGGAACTAACACCTGCCTGAATGAGCAAGTTATGCCAGAGTACCTTCAGCTCATCTGGGGTTGGGGACATAATGCCATCTGAGCTCAGATGGGACTCAGCCAGTTGAGTTGGAGATCTACTGCAGTCTATGCTGTTCATCTCAGCAGATCTTGCTTTAGGATTGACCCCATCGAGTTAGACTACATTTCATTTTATGTCCCCATTACTGGAGATTATTTTACTGGCCTATTATGTAACACAGAAGCATATCTTACTGATATTGGTTATTTCACAGAACATTTGGTTACATGCAGCACAGTTGCTCGTCAATATCATCCTCCAAACAGATGGTGTCTTCAGTTATGATTTCCGTGAGTAATATCAGATGATCACAAGGAACATTTCGTCAGATTCACGATATACCCACATCTTGCTTGAAACTGGTCCAGGTTCACACATAACACACACACAGGATGCTTGTTTTTGAATGTCTCCCACATCCTACATATGATGGGATGTCATGATGCAAGAGATGATAAAATCTCTCAGACGTCAAATGGAAAACAATGTGTCAGATGAAGATGGCTATGTTCTTTCCCCACTAGGAAGCCTTACGCATAACAGCTATTTGAAAAACCAACCAACCAAAGCCAGCTTATTTGTTAGCTTTCGCTGTCAGAGATACAGACAATCCCAAACACAATATAAAGATATGACATGTGCCACTTGGTTGAGTATAAGTACACAAGAGAATTGAAGCATACCAAAGAGAAATAAGATGAAGATGTTGCAGCAGCTCGTTCACACTTTGTATAAAGTTCTGGGCCCAGGTATAGGTACCTCTCAAACAGATATGCAATACTGAGCACTGCCTCTACTTATGAACGTCCTAACTGGCCTCTCATGGCTAATGCCTAGTAACAGATCTATATCCCACAAATTTGTGTAATTCTTTTTTAAAAAACCCAAAATGAAACCTAAACTTGTGGCCATTGTCACTGTTAACTTCTTACAGCTTACTCACTTTTGTAGGCTCAGAGAACTCTTGGAATTGTATCTCTGTGCAGAGAATAGGTAACAGGACCCCTGACCGTTAAGTCCAGTCACGGACAACTCTGGAGTTGCGGCGCTCATCTCGCTTTACTGGCCGAGGGAGCCGGCGTACAGCTTCCGGGTCATGTGGCCAGCATGACTAAGCTGCTTCTGTTGAACCAGAGCAGTGCACGGAAACATCATTTACCTTCCCGCTGGAGCGGTACCTATTTATCTACTTGCACTTCGTGCTTTTGAACTGCTAGGTTGGCAGGAGCAGGGACCGAGCAACGGGAGCTCACCCCATCATGGGGATTCGAACCGCCGACCTTCTGATCGGCAAGCCCTAGGCTCTGTGGTTTAACCCACAGCACCACCCGCATCCCTTATGTGCAGAGAATAGGGGTCTCCAAATAACTCTCCACACTCTTAACAAACTAGAGTTCTCAGGACTATTTGGGGGAAGCCATGACTGATTAAAGTGGTATTATAGTGCTTCAAATATACAGTGCAGATGGGGCCTTAGCTTCAACCCCTTACAACTGGAGACAGTTCATAACTCTATCATTACCCATTACTACAATGTCTGTTTGTGCAATGGAATCTTCTGGGGAAGATCTGTGGACCTGCAGGAGTGAGGAGGCGAGAGGGACAGGAATTTCCATTGTGTGAACAGAAGGTGTTCTGTGAGCATAATGGCTTCATTGGATGCAATGACACCCTGTTCTTTATTCTAAAGGTTTTTACACCTACCATTGGTGGGTGGATCTTGGATTTCTAGTAGGAAAAAAACCCTGAAGTAGTCCTGACAAGCCAGAAGTTCAGCCCATTTTAGAAGGCTCATCATTGCTGCTTCTAAGATTGCACTTCAGCCTAAATTTATTACAAAGTAAAGTCTGCAACTAGTTCAAGTTTTGGCTTAATTACTGAAAAAGAAATGACAGATTCCACCCATCCCTGGCTGTAACCTTAAGCACCCTTACTAAGATGAAAGTCCAGCTGATCTTGGTAGGGTTTGATTCCAAGGGACTATCACACTTCCATATTTTGCTTTTGAAATGAATGGAATCTGTGTAGGAATGCAGCTGTTCTTTCACCCTTTCATTTCAACGGGGCTCATGCAGCAGATGTTCTCAGCAGACTGTGCTCATGGAATGGACAACAAATCTTATGTGAATGAAGCTGAAGAGAGCATGTAAAACTTGCACAAAACTATATATTACACAAATTGATTGTGGGGGGGGGAGGAGTGTTAGTTAAGTGAAAGAGGTTGTCTTTTTTGAAGGACCTCTGGATTTAATTTTACACAGATAGTTCTTGCTCATAAATGCCTTGAAATTGAAATTGAAATTAAAATTTAGTAGCAGCAAAGTGACCTTGCATTAACCAATTTACTGTACATACATACATTTGCCACCAAAATTACCTGTCATCTCCAGGAGTTTGGGAAAAAATATATTCCAGAATCGGCACTGCTGGGCACGTAATTTTGTACGAATCTTTGAAGCGTCTGTGCTTAATGTTAAGTATTTTTGTTCAGCGGTGGTGAAGACTGGCCATCTTGTCCCATTAATCTGAGTCCCATTGGGTGTTCTAAAGGATTAAAGAGAAGCATTAGATCTCTCATGGGAAATTACCTGTGCACATCAGTAGTTTAAAATTATACTGCTGAAAAGTTATTTTATTTCAAAGATTGGTAGGGTTGCACGGAATTACCCCAGTACTTTTAAAACTAGATAGGAATAAATATCAACATCCCCAAACTTTAAATGGGAATTTGGAAAAAAAAAAGTTTAATTAAGAATAGAGAAATATGCATACAGTAATAAAATCACTGTTCATCAGTTCCATGGATGAGCCCAAGAGGTCAGTGAGAAAATGCAATCTCATGGATAACATTAAGGACAATAAATTCACTAGCCTGGATTGCCCAAAGTTCTTAATAAGAATGCTAATGCCTTATTCAAATATGCAAGAATACTATATTGATTTTTTTTTAAGGTAGACATTTTGCAAAGATATGCGCCTATATGGGTGAAATGAACGAAAATTGTATCCTGGAGAAAGAATGAGTTTCCTAATGGGGAAAAAGGCACCTTTCCACTGTTCAAAATAATTAATGTGAGACGATGTGCAGAAGTGCTGTCATATATTGGAATTTATTATCTTGGACATGATGCAGTAATGTAGGGGTGGGTGATGTTGGGACTTGCAGGATCATTGCATCTGGGGGGGAGGCACAGGTTCCCTCTTCCTGTTCCTAGCTAAAGAAAGGAAAGTTCCTAGCTAAAGAAATCCTTCCGTCCACAGGCATGCACATTAAAGGATCGCTCAGCACTTGAGTGACAATATAAGAGCAAAAGGTGAATCTATATAGGGCATGTAGGATCACAGCCCTGAATTATGCATGCTCTGTAGACCAGGACTAGAAAACCAGTGAAGCATCCAGATGTTGCAGGACTGCATCTGCCGTCATCCTTACCATTGGCCATGCTGATTACAGCTGATGGAGGGGGGCTGACCAACAGTATCTAAAGGTAAAGGTAAAGGGACCCCTGACCATTAGGTCCAGTCGTGACTGACTCTGGGGTTGCGGCGCTCATCTCGCTTTATTGGCCGAGGGAGCCAGCGTACAGCTTTGGGGTCATGTGGCCAGCATGACTAAGCCGCTTCTGGCGAACCAGAGCAGCATACGGAAACACTGTTTACCTTCCCGCCGGAGCGGTACCTATTTATCTACTTTGACATGCTTTTGTTTTTTTTTGTTTTTTTTTAAATAATATTTATTAATTTTCAACCATTTAAACACAACAAAACAGAAAGACAAAAAAAGAAAGAAAGAACAAAACAAAACAAAACAGAAAAACAGAAAACTAACAAAGCATGACACAAACCATTTCAAACACAGAACAATTTCAATGTCTTATCTTTCATTCCCTTATTTCCACGACCTCCTCACACCTCCCTTTCTGTTTTCCACTTCTATTAATTATTTCAGCAATTCCTTTCCATCTTCCTCTGTTTTCTATCCTATAATTATCTTGACATATTCTAGCCTTATTTTCCCTTTAATACACTATTAATCTATTTATACTTGATTCCTTATAGCATTTCTACTAAAGCCATATAACTTCATTCCAACATTTTTCAAACATTCATTATTTTTACAGTATTTCTATAAATAGTCTTAAACTTTTCCCAGTCTTCTTCCACCAGCTCTTCTCCCTGGTCTCGGATTTCTGCCAGTCGTTTCCGCCAATTCCATATAGTCCATCAACTTCATCTGCCATTCTTCCTGAATGGATAAATCTTGTGTCTTCCAGTACTTCACAATGAGTATTCTTGCTGCTATTGTTGCATACATGAGACAAATTCTATCCTTCTTTAACACCAATTGACCGACCATGCCCAGGAGAAAGGCCTCTGGTTTCTTCAAAAGGGTATATTTAAATACCTTTTTCATTTCGTTATGAATCATCTCCCAGAGTGTCTTAATCCTTGGGCATGTCCACCAAAGGTGAACTCTAATCCTCAAATTCGTCTGTTTTTCCTTAAGTTCAGTCATAGCGAGCATCAACTTATGTTCATCAAATTGCCTCTGTAGGGCTGGGGCTCTCTTTCTCTTTCTCTCCAGTTGTGTTTCTGTACCTTCTACAGCAACAGCTTTTTCCTTGACTTCCTCCACAGCTTGCCATATCAAAATAGGTTCTTGTATCAATTTCTGGGTGGTTTCTGTATTGGTATTGTCCATACTCCCTGCATTCAAGTCAACCTCAACAATTGAAACATCCACTTTCGCATTTATCATGTCCATTTTCCTGTGAAGCTGATCCAATGAGTCCTTTATCTTATATAATGCAGCCACCAAAGCCTCTTCTGTCGACATTCCTCTTAGTTTCAAATATACTAGTACAAAGACAGCAACAAAAAAGAACAGGAGGGCCTAATAATAGACCTCTCCTGGATTGTTACCAAGTCCTCCCAGACCTTAATGTTTTATCAACAGTTGACTGGTCTGTTTTTCCTCTTCCATTTACCATAACATTTGAAAGATTCAAGGTCAGTCCCAGAGTCTCACGGTTTTTAACTTGCAGCTGGAAATTCCCCTAGTCCAACTCTTGTAAATCAACCAGTTTCAAAGGCTTCCACTAGGGGAAAACAGTTTCTATTTGTAATAGTCAATAGTATCCTCTTTTAAACAATCCAAAGTTAGTTTCAAATTAGTTTCAATTTTCAGTTACTTTTACTCCTTTTAAAGCAGCCGGAGACAGTAGAAACAATGTATTTCTCTTATTTAGCTAGCTGTCAATGAACGTTCTAAGCGCTGTCAATGAACATTCCAAAAGACGTCAGTCCTACTAGCAGCCCGTTTCCAGGGTCAGAGCGGCGGTGTTTTAAATCTCTTCACTCTCTCCCGCAGGCATACTCAATCCGCAACTTCCCCCTCTCTTCTCCTGCCTCCAAGAGGGGGTTTAATGTTCTTTACCGTTGGAAATTTGATCTTTTACAAAAGACCTTCCAGGACTCCAGCTTGCAACTTCATTGCCTCAGTCTATTTACAAAAGGGGAAGCGGACTTCCTGTTTTGAACCTCCCCGTTACGATACCAAATTAAACTTTTAGAAATCCAATTCTTCTGTTTCAGCTCTGCTCACGGGTAATTACTTTAAAGTCAAATTGTCCACAGGAAAAGGTCAGCACTCTCTGGCAACAGCTATGCGGCTTCGCTCCGTGGAAGAAGCAGACGATTCGATGCACCGTGCCGCTCACCCCACGTCGCTCCGGAGCCCCAAAAACCAGGGTTCCCCGCGAGTGGGGGAGGCGCAAAAGGTGCCCGCCAAATCCCACGTTCACAGGCTTCTCCCGCCTGTGATTTTAACGGGTCTCCGCCTTCGCCGTGGCGGCCAGACCCAGATTTCCACGGAGCAGATTCCTCCCGGTCAGAGGAATTCTGCCATTACCGGAGGCGCCTCCCCCGGAAGTCCTACTTTGACATGCTTTTGAACTGCTAGGTTGGCAGGAGCAGGGACTGAGCAATGGGAGCTCACCCTGTCACAGGGATTTGAACTGCCGACCTTCTGATCAGCAAGTCCTAGGCTCTGTGGCCAAATTCTCCACCTCTGCTCTAGACTGTTTGTACCAGCCTTCTCCAACCTGCTGTCTTCCACATGCTGTTGTCTTACAACTCCTGCCATCTTTTATTATTTTCCAAGCTGGCTGAAGCTTGATGGGTGTGTCCAAAACAAATGGAGGACACCATGTTGGGGAAGGCTGGGCTGTATAGTGCTGATGTATGTGCAAAAGGGATACATATAGGTTCCATACATGTGTTGAAACAGTCAAGTGAACAGGCACAAGTGGGAACAGGAATTACTGGTGTGATCCTGCTGCATGTTTGCTCTATGTAGCTCAGTTGTAGAGCACACATATTGCATGCTGTTGGCCCCAGCTTCCGTCTCCCGCTAAAATGGGATCAGGTACAAGTAGGGATGGGAAGCTCTGATCATTTGGCTTTCTCACAGTTTCTCATTTCCCCAAACTGAAGTTCAGTTCCCAACATTTCCACAACAGTGAACTTCTCCAAACATGTTTGTATGCAATTTCCCCCAAAGTACATATTTTTGCAAAACAATTTCCCCCAATACAATGTATCTTTGTATACTACTTTCACCAGTGTATGCATTTCTATGTATCCTTTGCCCTAGGACTGCAGGTGGATTTTGGTACACATTACTAGGCTGGAGAACTGCACGGCAAAATTCTGAGAACTGTGAATTTTGAAGGATAATTGTGTTTCAGTTTGCATATCATTTCAGAAAGTGCAACTTAGATAGTTTTGCCTTTAGATGAATTACATTACCCCCTCATCCAGGGAAAGATCCCTACCCAACATCTTGGAGAGTTGCTCCCAGTGGTAGGGTAGAGGGACCAATAGCCCGATCTGTTTGTTTGTTATTACGTTTGTTTGTTATTATGTTATTACGAGAAGCCAAGTTACAGGGAGCCAGGCAGAAGGCCTTCTCGGTAGTGGCACCCTCCCTGTGGAACACCCTCCTACCAGATGTCAAAGAGAACAACAACTACCAGACTTTTAGAAGACATCTGAAGGCAGCCCTGTTTAGGGAAGCTTTTAATGTTTGATGGATTACTGTATTTTAATATTTTGTTGGAAGCCACCCAAATTGGCTGGGGAAACCCAGCCAGATGGGCGGGGTATAAATAAATTTTATTATTATTATTATTATTATTATTATTATTATTATTATTATTTCTTTCCACCTTTTTTGCAAGGAGCTCTTGGTGACTTACACACTACTCCCCCTCTCCATAGATTAGGCTGAAAGATGGCCCAAAGTCATCTGGTAAGCTTTATGGCTGAGTGGGGATTTGAACCCCTGTCTCCCAGACCCTAGTCTAGCACTCTAACCACCACATCTACTCTCTCTATGGGGCAGCTTCCCATCCCATCACCAATTAAGAAGCTCGGTATCAGCATGAATCAATAGGAAGAAGGAGCAGAGTTTTCTTTTGTTGACTTCTATTCATGTTTATCAGCCATCTCTCTAGAGAGGGCTCTGTCCAAGCTTGTGCACAGCAAAGAAATTGCAAAGCAAATTCTCCAAAGCAAGAGGAAAGCTACAAAAGCTTCTCTTAAAAGAGGTTTACAAAATGCCGTGAATGATTATTTAAACAACACTCAGAGAGGAAGAAGGCAATAAAAGAATTGAAAAGTGCAAGGGCTGAGAAGAGTAATTGGGTCTCCTTTCCCATGGTCTCCAGCCAGGAAAACCAGCGAGAGAAAGCTAACTCTTTCTGAAGACAGTGGGAGTTTCAGTTTGTTTACCACCGCTGAAGTAGAGGTCAAGAGTGGCCATTTTAGGAAAGAGTGCTGGACTGCAAATGTTTACTTCAGGGTGTGCTTTAGAAATCTCCTAAGTGGCATGGTTGTTAATGTATGCTACGGTTAGCAGCTGGAGGGCCTCGAGGAAAGAGAATTGGGTTTAAGGTTCATGTTCATCTAAGGAAAAATCACTTTTGCAGGAGGCTGTTGGAAACAGATCGCTCGATTTGTACACGGGCTGAGTAGTCATATCGCTGTTTTAAAAAACAAAGGATGCTACAGCTAAATGTGTTAAACAGGTAAACAACCCGCCAATGCAAAAATGAAAAGAACACCAGCTGTTCTTGCTACAGGCCACTGGCTGGATGCCTGGAATATCTCAACTCTGTGAAGTGACTACCCAGATGTAGCAATGGAAAGCAACTTTCCTTGCTCCTCCTGCTGTGGCAGTCAGTGAAGCTGGTGAATGTCAGGCTGTGGAGGGAGGGCAGGCTCAATAATAAGCATGTGCGTATTTTGTCCACCCTGAGACCAATCCCATGTCTACACACACACACACCATCCAAAGTTTGGGTCCCAATCGAAACTGGCATGGACTGTTGCCAGTGCTATCCATTCATCAAATCACAGAATCATAGAGTTGGAAAGCACCCCAAGGGTCATCTAGTTCAACCCCCTGCATTACAGGAATCTCAGCTAAAGCATCCATGACAGATAGCCATCCAACCTCTGTTTAAAAAGAGAGTCCACCACTTCTTATGAGAGTCTGTTCCACTGCTGAACAGCTCTTACTGTCAGAAAGTTTTTCCAAATATTTAGTCAGAATCTCCTTTCCTGAAATTTGAAGCCATTGGTTCGAGTCCTACCTTCCAGAGCAGGAGAAAACAAATAAGTTCCCTCCTCCATGTGACAGCCCTTAAGATATTTGAAGATGGCTATCATATCTCCTCTCACTCTCCTCTTATCCAGGCTAATACCCAGCTCCTTCAACTGTTCCTCATAAGGCTTGGTTTCCAGACCCTTGACCATCTTGGTTGCCCTCCTCTGCACACATTCCCTTTGCTAAGCAAAACTCTACTTGATGGTGAAAGCCACCATGACTGACAATGGGGCCTCAAGATCACTATCTTGAGCAGCACAGCCACATAGTTTTCATGACTGGACATATTTTAATGGGTTGGGTAGGACTGACTTAACATATTGCAGGAGGAGCATTTTATGCATTTCGGGTTGTTCAGTGTTTTAAAACTGTTATGGTTTCAAGCTGTTTTTATGTGCTGCATTTTACTTTGTCTAATCACCTTGAGACTTTTTGTTGCATAAAGTGACTGATAAATGTAATGGATAGTCGTAATTCATTTCTTCTAGTCCAGATAATTACTAGAATCCTCCTCACCTTCATACAGATACACACATAGAGAGACATGTATGGAGAGAAGGGAGTAGTAACTATAGCAAACTAGGATCAACTATAACTCATGGGTCGTTTCATGAGCTCTGCTTTTAGTTACTACATTCCGGGCATTTAACTCTTCCTGAAAGCCCACTGGACAGACACTAGTGAATTCAAGCTTTTAGTCTAAAATATCCCTTAATCTGATCTGGCATGGCAATTCCTAGGTTCCTCAGTTGCCCACTTCTTCGCTAATTCTGCTCTGATTAACTTATGGCACCCATTTAATTGCATGTTTATTTGTGGCTCCTGAGAATAGTGACTTAAGCAGAGCTGACTAGTACTTCAGTTCAAGATCAGGACACTAATAGCACTGTCAGAATTCATTTAAGCACTCCTGCACTATGAAGCAAGTCATGACATTCCAAATTGTACTTTACAGGTGGGAAGGGGGCTATGCTTGTGGATGCAGATATCAGTTTGTAGGAAGTGATTGAAAACATCATGTGTTTAATATAATGCCCTGTCACACGAGACTTTGAGATATATGTATATTCCTTGCATTGCTAGAGAATACGTAGTACTTTAACAGGAGATACACAGAAATTCCCACTTATCAGATTCACCAAAAACGTTGCAGAACTTATAACAGAGTTTTTATGCATGTTCAGTACAGGCTGGTCTGTTCTAATGGGACAGCAATCTCCCCTCATCCATCCTACACCTGTCTGTCTTCTTACTGATGTCCAGTCCTTCTCAGTCTAGAATACCTGGATACAGCTAAAGTTTTAATGTTATTGTCTTCTTTTAACTTTGCAACAAAAGGAAGAAGCAAAGGAAAGAAGGAAGCTATGAGATGAAGCAGGCTGACATCTGCCTCAATGAATTTAAATGTAGATTTTGCAGCTCTAAATGCAACACATTGTCCAAGATTTTGTCAGAATTCCCACCAATATTTATCTTCCATCTGTTCTTTGATTTGCATGTCAATTTTTTTACCCTCAGATTTCAGATAGAAATAATCTCAAATCTCATCTGGGTGCCATGTTTACAGAGATTAAATATTTTTAGATGTGGAGCTATTAAATATATTTCATATTTAGTAATCTCTCCATATTGGCTGTGCTCCATTCATGCAGGGTCATATTCCATCAAAAGACATGCCTCTCTCTCCAAATTTACAAGTTAGAAAAATCTCAGTTAATAGCATTAGGCTGGCATTATGCTAGTGGAGGATCAATATGAGGCCTTTGGGACACTGAAAACTCTGCAGAAGCAGTAAAACTGCCTTTAAAGGTTGCTTTTTAATAAACATTACATTTGTAAGCAATTGCTTATTAGCCACTAATTCCATAAGAAACTGTTTATTGGCAGCTGACTTTCGTAGATTCGCTGCTGACAGATAAATACTTTTTGGTCCAACAAAGTAACCTTAGTGGAAATCTTTACTTGGGAAGGAAAACTTCCATAATTAAAATGAATTTTTTTGACCATTATCGTTTTTGCACTAATATGATTAATGCAAACTGAAAGCACGATGTAAGCAGACATTAACTTGTTTTTTTATTAAAAGCCACATTGTTATAGATAACTTATCATTCACAGGCAAAAAGGCAGTCAGCTTAATTTTTAATCTCTACAAACAACTTTCACAAGTTTGTTAAGTCCTCTTTTTTGTTACAATTCACTGAGAACCCATTTCACCAAGGAAACTGATGTTAACGTAAGTCAGTGTAACATTTAAACCAGGGGGAGCCAATGTTGTGGCCGTTCATATGCTAATCACATCTCTCAACATCCCTGAGCATTGGCCATGTTGTCTGGCGCTGATAAGAGTTGGAGTCCCATACCATACTGAGGGTACCATATTGCCTACCTTTGAGTTAACTACTTTTATTCAATAATAACATTGTTCAAGTACAGTCATACCTTGGATTACAGATGCTTCAGGTTGCGTTTTTTCAGGTTACGGACCCACCAAAACCCGGAAGTACTGGAACGGGTTACTTCCGGGTTTCGGCGGTCGCGCATGCGCAGAAGTGCCAAATCGCAACCCGTGCATGCGCAGATGCGCCACTGCAGGTTGCGAACGCTGCAGGTTGCGAACATGCATCCGGCACGGATCACGTTCTCAACCCAAGCGTCCACTGTACATTGTAGTGCAACACTTGTGTCCACAAAGCTTCACTAAAAGCATTTTTTCCCCATAAGGCTCCATCCAAACAAAACCTGCCCACAACAGAGACTTATTAATGAACTGTAGTGGCTGCATCTTCTTGACACCTTAAGAAAAGGAAGATTACCAGTGCTTGTCACCTTCAGATACCAGCAAGCCGTAGACCTTTCCTGGGCACTCCAGGACACCAACAGAATAGGTGAGCTGTCCTGCAATTAACCAACCAGAGAGCCTTTCTTGGAAGCCAAGTGCTACCTTATCTTCAATGAAGACAATTAGAGTTAATAGTAATCACTCTCACTTAGAGAGGCGTCCCGCAGCATGCTGTTCCTTTTATTTCATTGTCATACAAACCGCTAAAAAGAGCCCTGCTAGATCAGGCCCAAGGCCCATTTTGTTCAGCATCCAGTGGCCAACTAGATGCTTATTGTCAGCATCGCCCTTGAGCCAGTGCCATCAACTGGACTCATCCACTTCAGCCCCGACTGGGCTAGGCGAGCTGGGTAGCACTTCCAGAGACCACCTTCTGCACAGGAACAGGTCAAAGTGCTGTGGACTCACAGCTTAGAGTTGTGAGCACCGGATTCACTTCCACAAGAAGACAGTCGTCGCACAGCAGAGTACAGCAGAGTCTAGCAGAGTATATAAACAACTCGGAGAGCAGCTCTGTAGACTATCTTCTTTATTCTATCTACAACTATTATACAACTATATACAGAGCTAAATAGGTCTAAGCATAAATGAATGCTGCACTGCACTGAGTGTCTGCAGCTGCTCTTAGCAGCAACCTTATCTCTACACATGATCTCTAACACTCAGTCTCTCTCTCTTTCCCCGACACTGACTGACTGACTGACTGACTTGGTGCTGGAGCAGAATAAGTAGAGAGCAGAACACGCCTCCTCCTCTCTGGAGAATCAGCAGACTCCTCAGGAGATTCTCGGATATGGGAGGGGTGAAATCTCCTCACTTATGGGGAGCCGACAAACGAGACGTCAGAGCAATAATGCTCTCCCTATGCTATCTTGCAATACTGAGGCAATCCAGACAACCTAGTGAAGGCAGTAAATCAATTCAGCGGTGTCAGCAAACCACTATAATAAGTTCAGGAGAACAATATTTGGGAACCGTGGAAGATGAGCTATAATTGCCATGATCCCCCAGCATAAAATGCTGCTGCCACGTTGTGCTTTACTAACATAGGGCTCAGGGGAGGGAGAAGAGTCCGTTGTGCCACTGTGCCACATCTTTGGGGGATTTTCTGTTGCCTGCTGTGTGGAAAGCCTTCCTCAATAAGCAGTCCTTCGTGCTCAGGGAAGGGGACCGATGCAGCAAGTGGGGGAGGAAATCCAGCCATCAGCAGACACTTTGAAAGCTCAGCATCTCCCATCTCCAAGCACAGCAAGCACATCAGATGCCCGTATCCATTTTAGCTGGGTTTTTCAGTAAACCTTTGTCAGTTCTCTGGGATAGTGAACTTACTTGAGAGGAAGGCTTAGATATAACCATGCATCTTTGTTGAACTGCGCACCACCTTTGCTAGCCTATTGGAGAATATCAATAAATTGCACTGTTTATGACTGGAAGTAGAGTCCTCCTCCTTTTTTGTCCATGATAGAAGGATGCTCCTAATTAGTTTGAAAGCTGGAAGAGCAAACCACGTATGATTACTCTGCCCCCAGACAATCAAGTCACAGCTAGCTGTGTGTGCAAAGTCATCAATCAATCAGAGAATGGCAAGAAGTATTTGCAGCATTACAGAGACATAACACATCCAGATGTCTCACATAATTTCTAAAGGCCAGGAGGACACACGATCTTCAGTGTAGACCTTCTCCTATTCTGTACTCACAGTGTAACAACTGAAGGCAAGTAACCATCATGAGCCTTTGTGCAATTCCTGGGAGAGTTAAGAAGTAGAATTCCAGTGACAGAATGCACAACGCTTCCTGCAATTTCCCTGCTCTAAGATGCAGACAGGAATGAGAGGCGCTGAAGATTTACTACTAAGCAGTCTCTTTCTAACCCCCACAAATGGCTTATTTTAGCCCTGAGCTAGTAGGAGAGAAAGGAAAGCTTGTTCGTTTGGAGAGCTGAATCATATTCCCAGGCTGTTATCACCTTATATAAAGGTAAATTGAAGTTGTGCGTATGCATGTTTAATTAGCGAGGGAAATCAGCTGTTGCATAGCTGGCATCATTGTTATGTGGTTGCAGCTTCTGAGATTGGCCCAGAAATGGCAGCTAGTGCAAAATGCAGCAGCTCGACAGCTCACTGAGGCAGACTATTCATCATGTTACACCGCTGCTGAAAGAATTGCAGTAGCTGCCAATAAGCTGCCAGGCTAAATCCAAGGTGCAGGTACGAGCATGCAAAACCTTGTGGAGCTTGGAACCAGGGTATCTTTGCCAGCCAGTTCTTACTGATGTGTTTCAATGTTTATGTAGTTACCGTATTTTTCGCTCTATAGGACGCACTTTTCCCCCTCCAAAAATTAAGGGTAAATGTGTGTGCGTCCTATGGAGAGAATGCAGGCTTCTTGGCTTCAGCGATAGCAACACGAAGCCTCTGAAGCGCAGAGGGAGCGCTCCTTCCATGCTCCGGAGGATTCGCGTTGCTTTTGCTGAAGCCTGGAGAGTGAGAGGGGTTGGTGCGCACCAACCCCTCTTGCTCTCCAGGCTTCAGGGATAGCTCCCGCTGCACTCCGGAGGCTTCGGGTTCCTTTTGCTGAAGCTGGGGGAGCAATACTCTCCTGGCTTCAGTGAAAGGAACCTGAAGCCTCCGGAGCACAGCAGGAACTCGCGCTGTGCTCCGAAGGCTTCGGGTTCCTTTTGCATCATGGTGGCAGCGGGAGTCCCCATTAGCTAAAGTAGTACCTCAGGTTAAGAACAGTTTCAGGTTAATTTGTGGTTGGATAAGGCTATACTGCTAACGTCAATAGGTAAATGCTAGGGAGGCTTTGACCAAATAAGGGCAATAAGGAATGGGCATTGGGGTTCTGGGAGGCTGTAACCTCTGTGCCACCCACCAACCAACTGGAGGACAGGGGCGGGATTTTGCAATCGGGGAAAGGATAAAGGCTCCTAGGACTTTAAGCCTTAGGAACCAGTGTTTTATATCTCACAGAGAGAAACCATATCTTCCAAGTTTTTTCTTGCAGGACCTTGGCAGCCATTTTGAATACCACATTCTCCTGTGCTTTTGCACTGCGCTCTCCCCTCCCCCACTTGCACTTTTTTGGGGGGGAGCAAGAACAAGGCATGGGTCACGTGACTCGCCGGGGAGCACATCCTGGAAGGTGTGCGTCCCAGAAAATGTGTGTCCTGGTTTTGCATCAGAAAATGTTGGATGGTATGACATGCTTTCTTTCCATCTTAGCTTCATGGCAAGTAATGGGCCAGCTCAACACATTTGCCTGCCTCAAATGAAGCTCAAGAAGAAATTCCTCTCCTCAACTCCACCTACAGAACTTGAACAGGCTGCCATTTGATTCTTACTTCAACAGTGAGGGTGCGACAACTTCCTCCACCTTGCCCAAGGGCAGCATGCCAGTTTAAAGGGTGCAGAGCAGGCCATCTTAGGAGACTCTGGGCCGATGGTAGGGGCTGTTCTAGCCCCAGAAACTGCTTCCTAAGTTTTGTTCTGCCTATTGACAGAACCAGGCTCAATTCTTAGAGGCTGACATTAGGAGGCTGAACTACTCTTAAAATAGCACTTGTTCGGGAAATAGAATTCCAGCAAGCCAACCACTCTGTGTGTGTGTGTGTGTGTGTGTGTGTGTGTTTAGAAACTGTGCTGCTTGACAGGTTCGTGAGACACTGAAAATTAACAGGCCCCACTTGACGAAAAACAGTACTTTTTCATACAGCGCATTGTTAAACTATGGAATTCACTACAGGATGTAGTGATGGCTGCAATTAGGATGGCTTTAAAAGGGATGCAAAAGGGATCTAGTATTAGAAGCAGCAGACCTTTGAATGCCCGGAGCAGGAGATCAGAGGGGGACGCTGCTGTTGTGCGTGTGTCCTCTTTGTTGGCTTCTCAGAGGCATCTGGTTGCTCAGTGCTGAACTGGATGGGCCTTTGGTGTGATCTAGCAGGACTCCTTTTATATTCCACAGAAAACACTGATTATTTTGCAAAGTGTACCATCATAAAAAGTGCCTGCAATCTACATTTAAAGAACACACCTGATTGTTACTTTTATTTATTATTCATTAAATTTCTATACCACCCTTCATCTGACGAACACAGGACACTTCACAACATAAAAACAAAAAAAATACCACCGCCCCCAGGTTAAAAACATTGATTGTTTAATGAGCCAAAGGCCTAGGAGCAGAGGGGTGTTTTTGCCTGGTGTCTGAATATATGCAGCAAAGATGCCACGTGAGCCTCCTTGGGGAGAGAGTTCCACAAGGGGGGCCACCACAGGAAAGATCCACTCTCATGTTGCCATCATCCAAACCTCTCACAGAAGAGGAGTAAGAATTTAAGCCACATCTGATTAAAAACATGAGCTGAACTATTCTGGGTCAAATCAAACGTCCATCTATTTGAATTAGGGATGTTTCAGATATTTTCCCCATCTGTCGTTTCACTCCAGATCTTCTATTTCCAAGGCACCTGGTCTTTGCTTCCAAACTAGAATGGATGCAGTAGGAAATCTGCATTGTTTGGAGTCTCTGCCCACAAACAATTCCACAGTATATAATGCAAGTTTTCCAAAGTTCCATGACTTGGTCTGTGTCTTCTCCTTGTCAACATTACCCATGAGTTTGCCTGTGTGTTTCAAAAAATGAATATAAAATAAAAGCAATCTTTCTCCTGCTGCAATCTTCTCTTGGGTGGTATCATGATTCTTTGGGTATGGGGTTTTATCACTGCATAAGGGAACAGACATGTGGCCATTAACACACTACACAAACCAAATATTGGTGCAAGCACATCTACAGTCATATCAAAATTGTTTGGTACTGTTTTCTGAACACTGGCAGTACAGTGGTGGTGAGGAGACGCAAAAGAATGAGAAAAACTAAGTGCATTGGGGAGATGAAGTACAAAGAACCTCTGTGCACAGCCCACACTGTGGAATTTGCCACCACAATACATCTTTAAAAGTTTGACTGGGTTGCTGACCATAGCAATTGGCTGTGGTGGTTGGCTCTGGGAGTGTGGGTCTCAGGAGCATACTGGAGGAAGAACCTCTCCCTTTGGGGCAATTCCTGGGCTATCAATTAGGATCCTGACCTGGATTTTGGTATTATCATAACTGATCACCTCCTCCCCCCATTTTCTCTTACCTGGCAGCACTCATCCAGTTCAAAGCTGTCCACCTCCTAAAGACCTAGATGTGCCAATGGAATCTTTGTTGTTTGAACCTAACTCATGACTAATTCAGCCAGTGATGTGTGATCCCTTGTCTTTACTACAAAGAAGCAAATCTTGAGAGCACTACATGAGACAGCTCCCCAGAAGGTGAGAGCCAGGAATATGGGTGCATTGCAAATACATACTTCAGCCAACTGGTGGCTGTAGCAAATTTATATTCCAACCAGCAGATGGCAGCAAAGAGATTCAGCCAATCAGAAGTATAGGCAAGATCCAGCTACCAGCTCACAAACCTCCCCCCTTAGCAAGTGATTTCACCAAGGCATGATGCACTCACATATTAGTGATTTCAACAGCATGGGAGACTTTGTTGAAGAGTTGCACAAATGCATGCTTCATGCACTCAACTCAACAGTAGATCAGCTGTCAGAGACCTAGTTGCAATTCAGACTAAAAGCAAGAAATCAACCTCTTCATTCCACAGAGAAAAGAATTCAAGCACTGCTAGTGATTTCTTATTTAATGAGGGTGGCAAGGGGTGGGAGGCACAGATGTCCCAAGCAGCCTTTGCTGGTAAGCATATTGCAGCAGTTTCAATTCAGTGTTGCAGCTCCTACCAACATGGAAAGTGGACTTCTTCACAGCAATGCATCTTGGGTTTCTTACAATAAGGGTACACTACAAGCTTCCACCACTTAGGGACTTCCCTTTTTCTCTATAATCTTACGGTTCTTTGTGATGCTACATTAGCACATGTGTTAATATCATTCATATACATTTGTTTTACCATATGGAGATCTAGAAGCCTGGAGTCACAGTTTCTGCGAATTGATATGCAAAGTTACACACACACACACATATAGTGGTACCTCGGGTTACAGATGCTTCAGGTTACAGACGCTTCAGGTTACAATCTCTTCTAACCCAGAAATAGTACCTCGGGTTAAGAACTTTGCTTCAGGATGAGAAATTGCACGGCGGCAGCAGGAGGCCCCATTAGCTAAAGTGGTACTTTAGGTTAAGAACAGTTTCAGGTTAAGAACGGACCTCCGGAATGAATTAAGTTCTTAACCCGAGGTACCACTGTATATACACACAGAGAGAAGGGGGGGGTTGCTTCACCAAAACCACCCTACCACCCTACACTCACATTGATCACAATGCTGGAGAAACATAACTTTTCTGTTACAACTACAATATATACCTTTAGCTACCTTTTCTCTAAACCATCCTCTGTGGCATTCTCCATCTTGCTTTCCTGTACTGCGAGTTCCCAGACTCCTTTCTGTTCAGTCCTTTCTTTCTTCAGCTTTCTCTGTCACCATTGCACTTTCCCTCAGGCTGATTATCCTTCCTTTAGGAGTCATTTCTCACTCCATTGCCATGACTTACTAGCAGTACATGTGAAAAGGATCTGGGGGTCTTGGTGGACTACAAGCTTCACATGAGTCAACAGTGTGATGCAGCAGCAAAAAATAAAATAAAATAAATGCTATCCTAGGCTGCATCAACAGAAGTATAGTGTCCAGATCAAGGAAAGTAATAGTACCACTCTATTCTGCCTTAGTCAGACCACATTTGGAATACTGTGTCCAATTCTGGGCACCACAATTTAAGAAGGATGTTGAGAAGCTAGAACGTGTGCAGAGGATGGCAACCAAGATGATCAAGGGTCTGGGAACTAAGCCTTATGAGGAACACTTGAAGGAGCTGGCTATGTTTAGCCTGGAAAAGAGGAGAGTGAGAGGAGATATGATAGCCATCTTCAAATATCTTAAGGGTTGTCACATGGAGGAGGGAACATACTTATTTTCTCCTGCTCTGGAAGGTAGGACTCGAACCAATGGCTTCAAGTTGCAGGAAAGGAGATTCTGACTAAATATTTGGAAAAACTTTCTGACAGTCTGACACTGTTCATCAGTGGAACAGACTCCCATAAGAAGTGGTGGACTCTCTGCTTTTAAACAGAGGTTGGATGGCCATCTGTCATGGATGCTTTAGCTGAGATTCCTGCATTGCAGGGGTTGGACTAGATGACCCTTGTGGGTACCTTACAACTCTAAGATTCTATGATGCTATGATGCTATGACTTGGGCCTCTGCTTCTAGAGCAGCCTTCTTCAAAGTTGGGTCTCCAAATGATATTAGGATTACAGCCCTCATCAATTCTGACTATTGGCTAAACTGGCAGGGGATGATGGGAACTGTGTTCCAATATCTGAGGATGCCAGAGTCTGCTGTAGGGTACCTGTCCCCCTGCTACACAGCAGGTTCCATACATTCTGAAACCTCTTCTCAATCCTCACCTTTACCAGGGGGCTTTAATCCCAGCCAAACTGACAACATTCCCTTCCCTCTTAGAAATACCACTGCTGCTGTTTAGTTGCCTGAGCAGCTGAACATTCCATGCCATCACACCAGCTCAGTCAATCAGTGTCAGGAAGCTTCACTGATACAAACACAACAGAAGAATGATAATGCAAGGTAATATACAATAGTGGTGCGACCACAAACTGGAACCACCTATATGATGACTTATAAAGTGAAGTTCCTCTCCAAAGGTCTCTAATATCAGTTGTCAGATTGTTACAATCCAATGCATTTGAAATGATAGGTTTATTGTGCAGAAAAGTTCCCTTTTGGATACACACTGACTTTAAGGGGGGGGGGGATAAACCACAGAGCCTAGGAGTTGCTGATCAGAAGGTCGGCGGTTCGAATCCCTGCGATGGGGTGAGCTCCCATTGCTCGGTCCCTGCTCCTGCCAACCTAGCAGTTCGAAAGCACGTTAAAGTGCAAGTAGATAAATAGGTACCACTCCGGCGGGAAGGTAAACAGCTTTTCCGTGCGCTGCTCTGGTTCGCCAGAAGCGGCTTAGTCATGCTGGCCACATGACCCGGAAGCTGTACGCCGGCTCCCTTGGCCAATAAAGCGAGATGAGTGGGTCACGCCTGGACCTAATGGTCAGGGGTCCTTTAAGAATGTGCTATAGGTGCTACGTGAATGGTCCCTTCTGATTTCCTCAAGTTACCAAATGATGTCACTTGAAATAACAGAATTAGAAGAAGCTTCACTCCAGAATGAATAAAATGGGAATCTGACACCCTCACTCTTTATGAATGCTCAGTTTCATTTGAAGTCACTTTTGCTGTCATTGGGGCCCATTGATGTGCGATTTGATATAATGAGCTCTCTCTCTAGATTTCTTTTTAAATTCAGAGCATTTCTCCACTTCAGCTAGTCATTTATCATCTCATCAAATGATGTGAAGGATTCCCTGTGCAATTTCATCATGCCTTATGCCTAATTCACAAAAAAAGTCTATTCAGGGTTTTCATACCTATAAGCCTAAAATAAAAGGCAAATGACAGAAATATTTCATTTTGCAATTTCGGATTTTATTCATGATGCTAGTTTGCATCGATGAGACTCCAGGGTTTATGATTTGTGGGGAAAGTAGAAGATTGAGCTCACCAACCTCTCTGCTGCCATCTCATTCTCGCCTAGCCCATTTCCACCCATCTGTCTTGTCCATTTAATGTAAGTTCTGTGAATAAGAGGCTGCACCACTACAATACAATGCTTCAACTCCTTAGAACTAAAGAAATGTTTGATTTCAGTTCCTTTCACAGCGAAAGTCCAATAACCTCAGAGAATTCAGGGAAATATACAAAGACTAAGCTGAAGGGGAAATAAGGACTTGACACCATCTAGTCCAGCCTTCTGGTCCCATAGAGGCCAACCAGAAGTCCTCATGCAAGACATGAGGGTGAGAGCTTTCTCCCACTTATTTCCCCTAGCAACTGGTAATCTAAAGTAGACTGATGCAAAACTGTTGCCTGGTGAAACTTAAACCTTAAGAAGCTATGCCCCATATCCTGAGATGCCATCAAAACTCAAAATTAGGTGGCTCATATGCCAGAACTATCAGGTTCATAAATGGCTGAATGTGCACCAAGTCCAGCTATCTGTCTAACAGATCTTAAAATTACCATATTTCAAAATTAAATTAATTCTGAGTTCATTTCCAGATTTTTTTTGTACATGCACTTTCCACATAACTAATCATCTAAATTCTGCATACTCAGGTTCTTCCCATGGGGTGGTGTTATTTTAACCCTTTTTAACCCAAAGCTACTCTTTGTCAAATCAATTAGGTTTAAAGTTTGGATATGAACTCCATCTACAGTTCATCACTTTTGAAGCAACAGTCAAACTTGCTGTAAGACAGGAAAACAATTTCTCAGAGAAGGAAGCTTTGTGATGCATGACATCACAATGTATGCCGTGAGTCTATTGCACTATAAATCACACATTGCCAGAATGAACTAACTTATTTGGTTGCTTATTATTATACTCTACCTTTCCTCCCTAAAGAGCCCCCCCCCCAAATTGTATATGGTTACAAGATCTGGAAAAAACAGAGAACTTTCATCCAAGTTTTTAATGTGGGATTTGATGAACTGAGTACAGTTTCTGACGGGGTAAGTTCACACGTCACTCTCCATAATCATTTATAGTAGGGTTTTGCCCAAAGTGACAATTTGAGATGAATTTGCTCTGTTGACCAACCAGTCCGATAATGTTGAAGAGGAACAACAAGTTTTTCAATAACATTAGAAAACTTTGTGACCTAGTTCAACACGTCTTGAAGGGTTTCACCTAGAGCTCTTTTTAAAAGATCACTTTGTACAAACAACGCATTTGAGGAACAAGATTTCTCAAAGAAGTACCAGATGTTAATACGTCCTGGGGGAGTTTTCCAAGTCTGCTTTTTGTTTCCTATGACTAGCACAATAAAACAGGGCCAAATAAGCACATTTATGTAAATGTTTTTAATGTGTGTGATTCATACAGTCTGAGACCAGGTGGGCTTTTTGGCAAAGAATTAGAGTTACCCTAGTAGAACTTTTTCTCTGTCTGTACATTGCCTTGACCTGTTATTCTTGCTTTCCTGTTATTGTATGAGTAGCCCTGAAGTGAGCTAAGCCTACTACTACTCAAACTTAATGTCATCGGTTCAGGTCATTCACTTTTAACCCAGCCTTTTCCAGCTTGGTGCTATCCAGATGTTTAAATCTATATTTCCCATTGCCCCCTGATGACTGGCAATAATGTCCAGGGCTGATGGGAGTTTTAGTCCAAAATATCTGGATGGAACCAGGTTGGAGAAGACTGCTTTAACCACTGGCAAATATAGTTGTCTGCCAGGAGGAATTTGCAAACAACTGGTGGAGAAATGTCTCAGCAAGTTCAAACCCAGTATGCTGAACCTGCTGAATAAGAATACAAATGACAGAAGAACCAAAATCTAGGTACTCATTGGTATCCAAGCCCACTGCCCCACTAAAACTCTTGGCCAGCTGACTGGGAAAGGTCAGAAGAAACTACATTTATATTCCAATCTAGCTCTGAAAATATTTCTAATTGATTCCTAGAATATCATTTTGAATCATACATTTTGTAGAAGAAAAACAAATTGCAATCTCGATAAAGGATATTAAAAGCAAACATTATGCCTTCCTCTGATCCCTTGAGAAATGTCTGTGATCCAGTTGGCTCTCATCCTGGCATCCAGAAACTTGAGAAGCTCTTGAGCATCTCAATTTTCTGATGCCTAGACATGCTAAATAAAGTTCGGTCCTCTCCATTGACATTCCTACTAGGTGACAGCAATCTTAGCTGTAAATTCCTTGGGACACTCAATTCAAAATGACATTTAGAGCAGGAAATGAAGTGGCATCAAGTTGCACATTGAGTGTAGTTGCCCAGGTATGATTTAGCTCTAGGTCAGTCCAACTGTGAAGTTACCAGTGCATGAATCACATGTGAGAGCTGATGCAAGTTGAATCCCTGATGTGGACTGCGTGCAGAGTAGAAATGCTTTAGTGAATAGTCTTAAAATAGTTACAAAGAAATGTTACAAAATGCAAAGTAACACATTGCTCTTAAACAACAAGAAATGTGCACCCCTCTTCTTTAGGGAGAGAAATTGCCAATGCAACCTATCATCACCACTGAACTTAGTCATTACTGCTAATGCTCTTGGCTCCATCGACAGACAAAGATACTGAGTTCTCAGTTTTCATCTTTCCTCTGCTTGACTTTCCAGCATGAGTCGCCAGTTAGCGTAAAGACTGGAAACATCCAACTTTTTCTGCCATGTTTGCTAGAGTGAAACCTCCTGCCCAATGCAAACTTCTCGACTTTCCAAATGTAAATCTTTATATAAGTTTTTCAAAGTTGAATGCATACAAACATTGCATTTCATGGATATAAAATTTATACCTGTAACATCACAGTGACCGAACTATCCCGGAACAGAGAAGGGCATAGTTGGTGTATCAACCTAAGTTGACAATAGGTGCTCCAATGCAATAGGTGCATTGATGTGGGGCACCCATTTCTGACTGAAGGCCCCCTCCATGGGGTAAGGGTAGGGCACATCTGTGTATCCTCTGTGTAAAGAGGCAGGGCTGAGATCAGTGTATTTACCCATACACTTCAAATATGTATAATATATCAATGACAGCAGAGGCAGTTTTAGGCTAATGTGGCTGGTTTGGTCGCACTGGGTGCCATGGTGAAGTGGGCACCAAAACAATACTGTAGAACAGAGCACAATAAGGTGGTGCCAAATTTTAGCATCACACAGGGCACTACTGAAATATGAGAACCCAAAGTCCACCACTGATGGCAGAAGGTGTACACTGTTGCATTGACCCGAGAACCCAAGCCCTCTTTTTAAATAATGCTCCATTATACTCAGAAATTAAAGAATGCATTGTTCTCATGCCCTCTGTAATGACTGGCCTCGTTAAAAACAAACAATTTGCAATAACTCCCAAGGCCGAATGAGTCATTCTGCAACCGCATTTATTTCAGGCCAATTCATTAGTCATGGTTAGCCAAGATAAGGAAGAAGGGTAGTTTTATGAGCAGCTACACTGCCTAAGACAGAAATTAACAGGTCTAGGAATTACGCAGAGCAGTTTTAGGCTATTGCCAAAGGATGTAAATTGTTTGTTATGGTTGATGATGGAAGAATGTACAACAACCAGCAGAGAAGACACCTGTTTGTATGTCCTGACAAAATAAAAAATATATAAATAGCAAGGACATGACTACCACCTGGAGCAGTGAAGACCAGGTCATGGTTTGAGAATGCCCATAGCAAAGTGCTCTCTAGTGTGTGTTCTCCTATATTAATAGACCCCTAGTCATGGGACGCAGGTGGCGCTGTGGTCTAAACCACTGAGCCTCTTGGGCTTGCCGATCAGAAGGTCGGCAGTTTGAATCCCTACGACAGGGTGAGTTCCCATTGCTCGGTCCCTGCTCCTGCCAACCTAGCAGTTCAAAAGCACGCCAAAAAGTGCAAGTAGATAAATAGGTACTACTCTGGTGGGAAGGTAAACATCATTTCCATGCGCTGCTCTGGTTTTAGTGTTCCGTTGTGCCAGAAGTGGCTTAGTCATGCTGGCCACATAATAATAATAATAATAATAATAATAATAATAATAATAATAATAATTTTTATTTATATCCCGCCCTCCCCAGCCGAAGCCGGGCTCAGGGCGGCTAACAACAATAAAACAGTACAAAAGTACAGCACAAACAACACTCTAAAATCATTCATTATAAAATTAATTAATTAACATGACTTGGAAAAACTGTCTGCGGACAAACATTGGCTTCCTCGGCCTGTAAAGCGAGATGAGCGCAGCAACCCCAGAGTGGACTTAACTGTCAGGGGTCCTTTACCTTTACTATTTTAGTAATGGGCTTAACTAGCAGTGGCAATGACTGGCAAGAGTAGTATGAGTTGCTGTGTAAAATTTCACACAGTGACCTGTGCCAATGTTATACCAAGGGCTTACCTCCCCCCAGCCCCCAATATTTTATTCAATTTGGTACCCCTAGTACAGAGAAATAGAGCAAAACTTTCTCTACTATGGCACCCTGGGTGTAGAAATCCCCACAGAAATTTGACTGTCCTCTGCGTTAGTGCTTAGTGTCAGGCCAATGGTATTGGTGGAGAGTTTTTGCACAAGCTGTTGAACTGTTTGCAATTTCTCATTCTTAATTTAATTCTGTCTGCCTCTCTTGATGTTCTATATTGTTATATGGTTTTTATACATACAGTTGTACCTTGGAAGTCAAACAGCTAAGTTCCAGAACGTTTTGGCTCCGGAACGTCGCAAACCCAGAAGTGACTGTTTTGGTTTGCAAACTACTTTTTGGAAGCGGAACGTTCCTGAAGCCAATCAGAAGCCAGACTTTGTTGTTGTTTTTTTAATGTTTTGGAAGTCGAATGGAACTGTATTTTACATTTCATATGCAGAAGGTCCCAGGATCAATCCTTGGCTTATCCAGGAAGGGCCTGGATTTCCCTTCCCTGAAATCCTGTAGAGTCATTGCCAGCCTGTGTGGACAATATTGTGCGAGATGGACTTTTGGCCTGACTTGGTGTTAGGCAGTTTCCTATGTTCCTATGTACCTCCCAAGGAATTTTAAATAGGAAGCTGCCATATGCCACATCAACCTATTGGCTCATCTAACTCAGTATTGTCTGGCAGCGGCTTTCCAGAATTTCAGGTCTCTTCCACCCTGACTTGGAGACGCCATTGATTGAACCTAGGACCTTCTGCATGCAAAGCAGATGCTCTACCACTGAGCCATGATGCCCTTGTTGGGATTTTGCCTACGTGCAGCTTCACACACAGCAATTAAGAGTTGGCCAAAGGCCAAGAAGACTGAGCAGAGGGAGTTATTCTGTCTAGAGATACAGGGGACCTTGGATACAGCTCTACTATTGGTTGAGGTCTCCACACAGGCATGATGACTCATGACCTTGCTTACTGGATAGTGTGTTGGTCAGTGTGGTGTTCTGAGAGTTGTTTGGAGTTTGTTAAGAGAGCTAGTTTAGATCCGTACCTGTTCATGTATATAGTAACTTGTGAATCTACTGTAAATAATAAACACCTCTAAGTAACCAGGTTACTGGTAGCAACGTCTCCTTCCTGCCTGCAACTGACTGCTTCTGGAAGTCTATGTATGCTCTGCTATGTTCAACTCGGTCTGGCTAAGATCCTGCAACAGGTTAAAGTTGCGAAACACCAATAGCCCTTACCTTCAAGCCTTGGGTGGAAGGGTAGAATACAAATTAAATCAACAATTTTTTTTAAAAGATGTTAATATAGAATAACACGAGGGAAAGGCATAAGTCCTTTGTCGGAGGAGCTTACAGTTGGGAAAAAAGGGGAGACAATGAAGGCAGGGCAGAGGAAGAAAATATAGAAAGAGCCAATAAAAGAGAGAAAGGGGGGAGAGAGGAGTCATGACAAAGGGTAAGAAAGGGTTGACATGAGAAGATGCAGTTCCAGCAATGAGGGCTGCAGTGAGGACTTCAATCCTGTAGGTGGTCAGTCAACTAAGCTAGTTTGACAAGAAAGGTCAGTACGTAGGTGAACAGCAAGAAGCACTCTGCATCAAACTGTGGCGATTCTTTGAGGTTATCTGAAATTACTGTGATGGGAAAAAAAGGAGTGGTGTGGTGCGTGTTAATAAAACACTATAAGCACTTGAGGTTCCTCAGTGATGAGAGATTTAAGTCTATGCTTAAGGCTACCATGCTAAACATGCTTTCTAGGGAGTAAGTCCCACTGAGCACAGAAAGACCTGCTTTCGGATAAAAACGTGTTTATGCTGCTGCTGTAAATCCCCCATGGAAGCCAATGGGATTTGAAAGTTTCTAACTTATACTCTTTCTACCAAGGAAACCTCTGGGATATTTTTTTCCAACTTTTTTCTTGAAATAAAATAAAATGTTTCTGGGCCTAACTAGGTGATATGCGGCAGATAAGACCATAAGAAGTCGAGCATATGGGAATCTCACAAGCAGAACCTGAACACAAGAGTAATAATAATAATAATAATAATAATTTCTTACTTATACCCCGCCCATCTGGCTGAGTTTCCCCAGCCACTCTGGGTGGCTTCCAATCGAGTGTTAAAAACAATACAGCATTAAATATTAAAAACTTCCCTAAACAGGGCTGCCTTCAGATGTCTTTTAAAGATAAGATAGCTGCTTATTTCCTTTATATCTGAAGGGAGGGCATTCCACAGGGTGGGTGCCACTACTGAGAAAGCCGTCTGTCTGGTTCCCTGTAACCTCACTTCTCACAATGAGAGAACCGCCAGAAGGCCCTCAGCGCTGGATCTCAGTGTCCGGGCTGAACGATGGGGATGGAGAGTGGTCTCCTGACTTGCAATTCACAGCCACTGGGTGACTACGTAGATACGTGTGCTGTGGGGGTGATTTGGATTGGCACCTTGGCAAAGGGGGATAGTGGATGGGACTTATCCCTTTATCCCTGCACCCTTTCATGAATGAGAACCAGTAGGAAAATATTACATGTATCTTGTCTATGATGGCAAAGACCACCTTAGGAACAAAGGGTACCACCTTAGGAACAGAGGGTATTTTCATTAGGGAAACAATTAATACCTCATCCCTGTATGCTGTGGTTCCCATTAAGACCACCAGCTCTACCAGGGTGGGGGTAGTGTAGCCCTCCAGTCTTGTTGGACTCCCATTTCTATCAACACCAGCCAGCATGGCTAGTGGTCAAGGACAATGCGAGCTGAAAACACTGGTTCCGCAAGCAAGCGTGTCACCAGCATCCCCTTTGATAACTGCCTCACTGCAGCAGCCTAGAACTTTCACGAACAAAGAGAGGAAGGTCATTTAAAGGAGCTGAACAATTTGCAGATGCCCGCCCTCCTCCCAGTATCAACAGTCTGGTTCCCAAACTTATTTTGTCAAACAACAGCAGGTTCAAATATGCTTAATTATGAGAGTCTCTGACAGCCTGTCAGTGCACAAGCCAGAACTTTATAAAATTGTCAAACATTCATCTCCAGTTATGGGTTTTTTGCCTCAAGTCCAAAACACAAATTTATTGAAACAGCTAAGTGGTTTTTGTTACCATTCCACAATATTAAATAGGTGTGGACAGCCATCCTGTTATGATAAGAAAGCCAGCAAATTCCAAATAAAGTGAAGAAAATATTATTTATAGCAAAATTCAACACCTCTCATTTTCTAGTGTCCCTCCCCCTATAAATACTCACCATTGTAACCGGTCTGAACAGTACTGACCATACTATTATTTTTAGTGGTAGTGGCAAGATGTGCTGCGCTGTTTTTATTGTAATTTTCTGTATGCTCTCTCTCTGTGTGTGTGTGTGCGTGTGTTATTTTAACTCTACCAATGTTTATTTTTTATTTTTTATGTTTTAAACTGTTCTTTTTATCTGTAAGCTGCCTTGAGTCTCTGTTATTTTATTATAAAATAATAAAATTCTAAGGGAATTTCAAAAGTCAGCTTCCTCTGGGCCCCATCCACAACATACCCAGAGAGTGAAAGCAAGATAAATAGAGTCTATTTCTACTTGTCCTTAGTCCTGTTACTGCTCCCTTGCTTGGAGAGGACAAGTAGAAACAAGGCACAGCAGGCAGTGATGTCAGTGGGCTTTGGGATATCGGGTCCTCCCTTAAAGAGGGCACGTATTGCGGTGAGACCTGGAAAACCGACACCCTGTGTTGTGGGTGGGTATGATTGGACAGCCACAACTCCTGATTCGTAGGTCCCTCGAAGCTGGGCACAATCTGGCCAATGGGACACAGTCCAAACGGTTTGAGGCACCTATTTATGCCCATGCACGTGACCCAGAGCTTCCTCTTTTGGTGCGTGCATTCGGAACAACCACCAACCTCTCCCTATATTTAGAGCTTTTACGCTTGACCTTGCTATGCCATCGTGTGTCGTCTGTCGTTGGGACGCGGGCACAGCAGGAATTTCCCCACTTGGCTGATTGGCTGTTGCCATTTGGGTTTCGCCTGCCACGTAGCAAATCATCACAACTTCTAAGGTTGCGGATAGGCTCTGGTTCAGGTGATAGGGATGGGAGAACGCTCTCACCATCCCCGTGTGAAGGGTATTCCATTAAAAGAATCTAGGGACTTGATGGTTTGGTCAACCCCAAAGAGGGGGTTGTGCCCGTGCCTGAGTCCAGGGGGACATTTGGGTGGCGGAGTTAGCCCGTTCCTGGCTTTCCGCTTATCCAGGTGTACACCCTTGGCTGACCTATGCTGGAACCCTGGGTCAGTGCTACCTGCATGACAGGGAGCTAGTCGACCAGAGCCTATGCAACCAGTCACTTTCTGTAACGAATAAATTTGTGGCCTAAATTCTGCCAAAACCAAACTAAAATTTGAGTCAAGTGCAAATTTATGTAGGGGGGAGGTTTCTGGGTCTGAACATGCAAATGACAGTGGGCCCCTGTTGGAGTGTGGGCCTTGACAGGTTCTATTTGGTTAGGGGGCTGTCATTCAGATTTTTTAAATTTTAAACTCCAATGACTAAGTAATCTAAAGCTTAGATAGGCTAAAAGTAGGTCTCTTCATGATGGTCTTTAATAACTCAATGAAAACCTTTTGGATGCCTTCACAACAATAAGCAATGTGAAGATGTCTTAAAATATAAAAGGAGGAATATTTCAAATACTCAGATCCCAATTAGAGCCTGCAAAGCATTTGTTTCCTAGAATGGAAAAGAGAAAGATGGTATTCTGTCAGTTTTTCTAAATGAAGCATTCCCCAAAAGGCCTAGCAATGGTATTTTTGGGAGTTCCCTTCACTTACTTCTTTGCAGCTTTCATTTCATCTGATTTGTCTATCTTTTTGTCAGGTATTTTTTTAACTTCACTCATGTCTGGAAAACGGTACTGAATAAAGATAATGAATAAAGTAATGGAAAAAGCATAACCTAGCAACTTCTAGTGTTGGTTGACAAGCATTTTCTTCCATGATAAATAAAGCTTTGCCTTGCAAGGGTTTAGCGGAGCATACCGCTGACTGTGATTGATCGTACCGGTTAGTGTCACTCATTTACTTCCAAAGGCTTTCTGAAGAACACCAAAAGTCAAGAAGAAAAATGAGGATAAAAATGTATTTTAAAATAAATAAAAAAGTAACTAAGTTGTCATCGTGGATTTAAACTTAAAATAAGTCACATGAGGAAACCACAGACAGAAATAGCCTCGTTCCAAGAAAACATGCCTTGATTAATATTCATATAAATAACTGCAGAGAAGTAAATTGGCCAAGAATCAAAAGCTGTATTGAGATACTGAGAAACTTTTACATGGACAAAATAGCTTTATGAGTCCAAAATCAGCCCACCACTATGATTGCATACAGGGCTAGTCCAATATAGTTGCTGCCTGAGACAGAACAACAAATGTCACCCCCCCCACACACATGCTAAATCAAGATGGCACAGTAAACTGAGACTAGGAATGTTATTTTGTCATCTGAGACAGAAAAGCGCCACAGGCTACTCTCTGTGGGGATATAATTACAATAAAAATACATTAGTTAATAAGTCAATATTGTCTCGTGGATATTCTGACCCTGTGGAATTCTTCTGACAGGCCTTATGTTTTCAACCAATCAAGAATAAGTCATTATTTTGTCCCTCCCTTTTTGCTTTTTGGGGAGCCCTCGTTGCTACACTTCAGGGCTCAGCTGTCTCCCAAGACTCACTAAAAGTTAAATCTCTGACCAATATAGCATATGAGAATGCTGGTGATGGAGCTTGGTCAGTGTTCCTTGAGTTGAAAATGAGTGTGTTGCTCACCTATCTCATCTAGGAAATGTTGAGTTGTGATTCACCTATGCTGATTTTGTAATGTTTGGGTAGAGGAAGTGTCTGGTGACACTGAAAAGCATTTCCTTGTCCTTATTTTTTTAAAAAAATATTTTTTTATTTTATTTAATACACATATATCACAAATATACAAGCATACAAACATACATACATTTCATACAATCCTTAAAAGTGTTCAAACATACCTACACTCAATCCCACAAATAATTCATTTCCTTGTCTTTAACATGGCCCAAGTTGAAGACATTAGCTTAAATTCTGTTCCAAACAGGAGACACTTGGCTGCTTACAAATATGTATCATTGTCCTAGATTCTGGTTGGAGACTGTGCAGCTAATGAGGTAGCACATCTTGAGGAAAGGGTGAGCTAGCCTGACTTTACTCAACTAACCTCTCACATGTGCTTTCAATCTGCAGAGTGGGGTTCTCTGAACCTCTTAATGTTGCAGTGGGAACAAGAGGCACGAGGGACTCAGGTTTTCTTTCCCCTCCAACATCAGAAACAGAACCTTAGCATCTCTCAAATTTGGAAAGAAAGGTAGAAATGGCCTACATACAAGATAAAGCTATCCTTAGCCAGTAGTGTAGCTTGGGTTTCCAGTGCCTGGGGACACATAGAGGGTGGGATTGGGAAAAAGGGAAACAGATGGAGTGTACATGCACACTCAACTGCCTAACTGCGTCCAGGTCACCCAGGAAATCACAGCCACAGAGATAAGAAAAGAAGAGTCTGGAGAGGTCATTTCCTGGTTTGCATGGAGAAGTCATTTTCAATGGAGCCCCATGACAGAAGCATGCAGCTGTATTGAGGCAGGACCAGGGGTTGAAATTTTGAGTCCCTAGCAACTTTGCGCCTGGGGCAACCCTAAAATGCAATACGCTACTTTCTTGGCTACTAGCCACAATTTCTTTGTCCTGTCTCTACCATCAACAGTGAAATGCTTTTGAATTCCAGTTGCTGGGAATTGCAAATGAAGAGAGCATTATTGCACTCAAATCCTGCTTCTGCAAGCTTCTCACGGGCATCTGGTTGACCACTATGAGAACAGGATACTAGCAGACAGGCCTTTGGCCTGATCCAGCAGAGCTCTTACGTTCTCATGTAAGGGTGGGGAGGGGGAAATAGGAAATTGATCTTCCTCAAACTACTCTGTAGGACAGCAATTTCTCAGCCATGCAGATTCTGGGACAGTCAGAATCTGTGGAATTTGAAACTCTCCATCCAAATACATTTCCATCTAATGAACTCCAGTTCCATTGACTAAAGGCTAAAGTGACTAATGGAGCAACAGAAACTGGCTATTGGCAAGGCTTTGACGCCCACTCATTGGAATCTTATTTACAGCTTAGAGGTATTTGCTTTCTTCTGCCCTTTAGGGAATGTAATGTCTGAGCTGCAGGAAATCGTGTAATTATTGAAAATCAAGACCCCTGAAGCATATCCTGAAGGCCACAAAATAAAATTTAAAAAATTACACCCTCCAAAGCATGAGAAACACTGAGACAGCTGCAGATCAAGAATGTGTCACATGATATCGCTTCCTATCATCTCTTCATTCATAACCACTTTCCAGGCAGCATTTTTCCCCTGTAATAAAATAAATTCATCAATGAGGCTAACGTCTTATGCTCAACCTTATGGGTCTTCCAAAAAAGGTGTATAGGATTGCACATATTAAGTGGGGAGGGACCAGTTGTCAATGCATAGAACCTCTAAATTCATCAGGTAATTGCTTTAATTATATTATTATACAGAAAGGTGATGCAAAATGTCAGAATCAGCAGTATTTGTTTATATCCCAAACTTCTTCCAAGGAATTCACCCCCCTCTGATCTACAAACTCATATGAACTTTTTGTGGTGGTCAAGGGACACAGAGTGAATTTTATGACTTTGATTTGAACTTGGGTCTGCCCATTCCTAGTCCAACACCATAATCTAACTTTCCACTACCTGGTGCTCTCTAGATGTTTTCAGACTGCAAATCCCATCTGCCCCAGCAACTGAGGCCAATGGTCAGGGATTTTAACAGAATGAATATAAAAAGAGCCCTGCTGGATCAGAACAAATGCCTATTAGATTCAGCTTCATGTTTTCCCACAATAGCCAACCAAATGTATAGGAAGAGCCCACAGCCAGGACATAAGCACAGTAGCCTTCTCTCCTTGTGGTTCTTCAGTGACAGGTATTCAGAGGCATGTTGTCTCTGGTCCTGGAAGTTGTACACAGCCTTCATGACTAGGCATGGGGGAGACATTTGATTCAATTGACACTTGTTCGCAAAACTACCTACTTCATAAGAACTAAAACACGGCCTTTGAAATTTTCACTTCATATTTTGCAATGCTATTTTCCAGCTAAGCAATGTGTACCAAAGGAAAAAAGAGAAAAGAGAGAAAGATTATAGTAGGGCAAAGGGAGCATAAAAAGGTAAAGGTACCCCCTGACCGTTAGGTCCAGTCGCGGATGACTCTGGGCTTGCGGCGCTCATCTCGCTCTATAGGCCGATGGAGCCAGTGTTTGTCCACAGACAACTTCCGGGTCATGTGGCCAGCATGACTAAGCTGCTTCTGGCGAAACCAGAGCAGCGCAGGGAAACGCTGTTTACCTTCCTGCCGGAACGGTACCTATTTATCTACTTGCACTTTGATGTGCTTTCGAACTGCTAGGTGGGCAGGAGCTGGGACCAAGCAACGGGAGCTCACCCTGTCATGGGGATTCGAACTGCCAACCTTCTGATCGGCAAGCCCTAGGCTCTGTGGTTTATAGTAGGGGAAAGGGAGCATAACTATGCATATATTCATTAAACTGTTATGCATTACATTTGGGGAAATTGCTTTGCAAAAAAAGTGTACATCAGGCAAAATTGCATACAAAATGTGTATATGAGGAGAAATTTGCACTAAAACACTGGTGATTTCCATGAGGACTTCCACCCCCCCTTCAAAAAATAATAATTCACAAATTGCTGCAGTAACGTGGAAAACTAAATTTAAGATAGAAAAATACAAAACTGAGAGAAATTGAAATTGACAGATTTATCCATCTTTACTCATCACTAGTAACATTGACTGCCTTTTCCTCCCTTCTAAATTTGTGCCCATCACCACATATTGTGGTTGCAAATTCCATAGTGTGACTTTGTGAGAAAAATAACTTTCTACAGCACAACACACATAGTTATAAACATGGTGTTATTGCCTGTGTTCTTCTGTAAAGGATTTGTGGCCTTCATTGCACTGGATCTCTCCAGGCCAAATGACAGCTTCATTCTATTGCCAGATACAAAAGAGTAATTGATTCTATGAACAGCACTAGAGTAATGTTTTGATGGAGCAATTTGTCTTTTCCATGATGGCTTTTTTGGTCCATTTGTTAATAATATTACTCCAACTCTTAAGTGGACATCCTAAAGAATTTATTTACTCTTTTTTTTCTCCTTTGAACTCTGAGCATCCCAAATTGCAGCCTACATGTCAAAATGAAATATCTTCTTCATTAGTCTCAAAGCAGGCAACTACATTTTGAAACAATACAAAAGCATTTCAAATAACGCATAATGAAAAATAAGGATTCCCCTTACAGCATTTCCTGCTATTAAGATGAACCAGTTCTAAAAATGCCGTAACAAGAAAGAAGCTTTATTTTTCCTGTGAAATACTCAGGCTTTGATGATGTCACAACTCTGCAGAAGGGTGTGTTTTTTTTAACCCACAACAACACATGTTTAATGTAATTCACACAAAATGTACATATTCCTTTCAGTTGTAAGAATGGCCAGATTCCCCTCCCCTAAACACAAGCCACAAACCATATTATCAGGAGTCTAAAGTAATCTAGGATGCTTGACAAATTTGTGGATACCAGGTAAGACTGGTCTGATCCATACCTCCTGAACTGTGTGAAGCAGAACAAAATTATCCATCAGCTTTCATGATACTAACTCCGTTTTTGACTCAGAAAATATAAAGGTATAGGTTTGTGCTGGTTTGGGCCAATGGCCTATCTAGTCCAACGTCCTGTTCTCACAATGGCCAGCCAAATGCCTTTGAGAAGCTTGCAAGCAGAAACTTAGTGCAACATCACTCTTAACAATTCTGGTTCTCAGCAACTGGTATTCAAAGGCATATTGTACCTGATATAATGATGATGATGATGATGATAATAATAATAATAATAATAATTTTTTATTTATACCCCGCCCTCCCCAGCCAAGACCGGGCTCAGGGCGGCTATTAATGGAAGAGAATATAGTCATCATGGCTAGTAGACACTATCCTCCATGAATTTGTCTAATATCCTTTTAAAGCCATCCAAGATGTTCTCATTGTAATGTCTCATTAGTGGCCATAATGACATCTTGTGAGAGCCAAATCCACCATTTAACAATGTGCTGTGTGACGTACGTTCTTTTGTCTGTATCAACATACTTACAAAAATCATATCTGAATAGAAAAAAAATGTTTAGAACTGTATTTGAAGGATGTTTCCTATTTACATATTTTAATGTAAATAGACAGGTAAATGAATAAATCCTAGATCAATGCAGAAACAGGATGGGGTGTGTTTAAAGATACCTGCATGTAAAGGAATTTGGGGAAGAAATAGATTGATTCACTCATCCCTAATTTAAAACATTAAGAAGTCCAACAACAATATAGGTCATGTAACTTAATATTACAATTCACATCCAAGTGATTTAGACTTAGTCCAATAACAGATGTCCATAATTGGAACAGCTGGTGAGAAGTTGATTCCTACTCTATTAACTTAGCTTTCCCAAATCTTGTACCCTGTGGATGTTGATGGACCCCATCTCCCATCATCCCTGGTGGACTTTGGGCTCTCAAATTTGTCCGATGCTAAAACTTGGTGCCCCCACCTCTTGCACTTCAATCTACAGCATTGTTATGGTGCCCACACTGTGCCACCTTAAAACCACCTTTGCCATTGGCTATGCTGGCTGGACCATAAAGAAGGCTGATCGCCGAAGAATTGATGCTTTTGAATTATGGTGCTGGAGGAGACTCTTGAGAGTCCCATGGACTGCAAGAAGATCAAACCTATTCATTCTTATGGAAATCAGCCCTGAGTGCTCACTGGAAGGACAGATCATGAAGCTGAGGCTCCAGTATTTTGGCCACCTCATAAGAAGAGAAGACGCCCTGGAAAAGACCCTGATGTTGGGAAAGATGGAGGGCACAAGGAGAAGGGGACGAAAGAGGACAAGATGGTTGGACAGTGTTCTCGAAGCTACCAGCATGAGTTTGACCAAACTGTGGGAGGCAGTGGAAGACAGGAGTGCCTGGCGTGCTCTGGTCCATGGGGTCACGAAGAGTCGGACACGACTAAATGACTGAACAACAACAACAACAAATGCTGGCTGGAACTGAAAGGAGCTGGAGTCCAGCAGTTTGGAGAAATCTGCTCTAACTCTAGAGCACAGAAATCTCTATTTAAATGAAGACCGCAGTGAGACGTCACTAAAATGTGTGAAGTGTAGCTAGCATGGTGCCCTCCAGATGCTGTAGCACTCCAAGTCCCATCAGCTTTTAAATTGAATTCTGATTTTTTAAAAGTGTGTGGGGTTTTTTAAATAGTTCTATTGCATTGGGTCTTCTGCCAATGACTGTAGAGATGACTGTAAATTAAGCAGTATATGAATTGTTGTCAGGGAACTGCCATCGGCTCGGAGTCGAGAGATAGAAGGGCAGTTGTGTTACAGGGAGCCACGAAAATCTTACGAAGCAGTTCCTCTTCCAGTGAGGAGGAAAGCCCCACCTCCAGTGGAGAAGAGGTGGAAGGACCAGAGGATGCTAGGAAGAGCCTTAACACTGAGCCTGAGCAAGCCGGAGAGGCGGGGAGCACGCTCTTGCCATTGCCCATCCTGCGCAGTAGTTTGAGGTGCAGGGAGGGGTGGAAAAGGCTGGGGCTGATGAGACTTTTATGCTGGGGGAGGTACAAAAACAGACCACTCCCGGATTCTGCTAGCGATTGAGCCAGACATGAACTTATGACGCTCTTCACTGTAAATAGTTTGCACCAAAATAAAGCCTGTAAAAGACAGGTTGGAGTCTTGCCTGTTTACTCTCGAGCAACCGCAACAGCACCTGACAATTGTTGAAACAAATGCAGAATAAATTATAAAATCAGAACTTTGCGGCAGGGGCTGGGGAGGCGGCTGACAATTACAGAACCATGAAACACGCCACTACCTTCCAAGGTTGATGATCCAAACTTTGACAGCCTATCATCTTAACTGGCTGCCTACTCAAATGCTAGACTCTGCAAGGAAGTAGAAGCTGTGTTTGCAAGGGAAACACAGAACTCCTGAAAGAATGGGAACCTCTTGAAAAATCAAGGTAACCAGAATAATTTTGCTTTCAGAAAAACACACAGCAACAATGAACACACCATTTCTTTTACTTTGGAAGTGGCAGCGTGGAACAAAAAGAGAACTGTCTTCATTGTGTAAAGAGGGACAACAACCCTGTCATTTACATCTTCTTGACTTGAAGCCAAGTCTTGCCGGCAAATTGACTGTAGGGCTAAGAAATCCCATTTTGCACCACCACTGCTGTTTCTGAAGGCAGATGAGGGGCGGTGGTGGTGAGAATTGTTTTTCTTTTGCTCATTTTAAAGTAGCAAACTCTTCCCCCCTGTTTGAATGGCTGTCTTGCAAATAGGCTGCAGTTATCTGCGCTGAAAGTCTAGCATTAACTAGCAGGGCATTGCAAATGTCAGACACTCGCTCCTTTTGCATCCCAGGAAGACAGATAAACACTGTTATTTGAGTTGCCGCTGAATTGGGCCTAAAGCAACATTTTGAGTCAAATGTGGAGGTTCCTGCTTAGGGGAAACCTCCAAAGAATTTTTCTCTCTGTTGTGTGAGAGTGAGTGAGTGAGAGAGAGAGAATTGAGCTGCTACTGAGTTCTGCCTAAAGTAAAAATTCAACATAAATGTAGATGCTTCTGCTTGGTTTAATATTGAGGAATTTTGTGCCAAGCAAAAGGAGTATCAATTTGACCAGCAATAAATATATTTTCTTTCCAAGAGGGTGTTGCAGATCCCTACTAAAACATTAGGGACATATTACAAATAGGCTTAGTCAGTTAGGTCATCTGGGGAAGTGCTATTACTGGCCCCCCATGGAGCAGAACCACAGCTCATATCAACAAGAAGTCATGGCTTCATTGCTCTGGGTCCAACTCTACTGAGTTTCCTCCCAATAGAAGTCAGACAGACACCATTCCCGATAGGTTTCGGGAATTAAAACTGGGAATTAAAATTCGGGTAATTAAAACTGCTCTATTTCAGAAGGCTTTTTCATCATGAATGTTTCTCTGTTGTTTTAAAATTTTGCGATTTTATTTTTTAAAAGATTTTCAATTTTTGAGGTTTTAAATTTTGTATATTATGTTTAATTTTTTACTATAAGCCACTTTGAGACCTAGATAGTTAAAAGTGGGATTGTTTATTTAAATTGTAATAATTAAATAATGCATAGTTGTAACCCTTCTTTTTTTCCAAAAGGGTAACCTCCACAATTAAGAAGAGGAATACGAAAGGTGCCCTTCGTGATGCCACCACCAGAATAGATGTACAGTAACAAATTTGGGAATTAAAACTTAGATTATTGGGTGCATCTTATGTTATGTTTTATAGACATGGCTTCACCCCATCCTATATATATATATATATATATATATGCACCAATCTAATGTGAGAATAGCAATATCAACAGCTAAGTTTGAGAAAATACATGGGGGATTTCTTATCCAATGTTTTCTTTCTCACGTCATGCTTTATGGACACTTCCTGAGCGCTTGCAAGAATGCAAGGTCATATAACCCAGTTATTATATCTGCCTTTGGGAAGAGTGGAGTTAATTTCTCTGTGTGAGAGAGCCAAAGAGGGTGGCGGTGCCAGGGGTCACGGGGCTGTAAATAGAATACTTTTTTTGCAACTCAAAACTGTGGCGTTCATTTGCAACAGCTGTTACTGTGATGAAATAAGGTTCCGCTCATTTGTAAGGTAAAGCAACAAATGATCAAGAACACTGAAACCATATCCTGTCTTGTTATAAACACATCTGATACTGCCAGCTTCTGGAAATAATAGGAGACATCTTGCCTTGAGAGGCAATGAACACTTCCTTGCAGCCTTTGTGAAAGTGCATAACCGATCATATTGTTATTAAATGCTGCTCCAACTATCAGTATTCTCTACTACTTCTGCCACAACCTGTATCCTCCTTCTCCTGCTCCACTACTAAATGACCCTGAACAATTCAGTAAGATCACTACACTTGGCCACTTCATTGTTCACCTCTAACTCTAGATCCTTTATGAATAAGTTAAAAATCATGGATCCCAATACCAGTCCTTGGAGGACTCCACTTTCTATATCTCTGCCATTTCCCCCATCTCTTTTCCCCATCTCTCTGATTCCTCCTACTGAACCAAATCCTGATCTAAAGAGGACCTCTCCTCTTATTCTTTAGCCAGGAGTCTTTGATGAGGTACCTTGTCAAAAGCTTTTTGAAAGTCTAAGTACACTATGTCAGCTGGATGACCACTGTTTGTATGATTGTTCTCAGAAACTCTGATGCGTTCCTGAGACTTCCCCTTGCAGAAGCCCTGATGGCTCTGCTTCAGCGAGTCTTCTTCTACATACTTGGTTATTTTACCTTTAACAACACTTCCCACCAGTTTTCCTGAGACAGTTGTTAAGCTAACCAATCTGTAATGTCCAGTATTCCCACAGATTCCCCACTGAATCGCCCTTTAAAAACTGATGTTGCATTGGCTACTTTCCAGTTCTCAGGTATGGAGGCTGTCTTGAGGGACAAGTTACATATTTTTTTGTTAGAACAACAACGTCACATTTGAGTTATTTGAGAACCTTTGGGGGAATGTCATCTGGGCCTGGAGGTTTATCAGTTTTTATTTTCTCTGTTAGGCCTAAAACTTCATCTCTCATCACCACTATCTGCCTCTGTTCCTCAGGTTGCTTTACTGCAAAAGTTAGTTCATGCACTGGGATCTGCCTTTTATATTCTGCTATGAAGACAGATACAAATAATTCATTCAGCTTCTCTGTAATCTCCTTATCCTCTTTTGGCACACCTTTGGATCCCTTGTCATCTGAGGGCCTAATCACCTCCCTAGATGGTCTCTTGTTGCTAATGCATTTAAATAACTTCTTGTTGTTGCTCTTAATGTTCTTAGGGACGTGCTCCTCAAGTTCTTTTTAGCATCATCTTTTTTCATTACATACTGTCTACTGGCACTTTATTTTTTGCTAGAGTTTTTGTTCCACCACCACTGCCACCATATTAATAGTGGGAAAGGAGAAGGAATAATAGGATTCAGAGATTACCCCCCCCCCACAGACTTCTGCAAGCGAGCACCGAAAAAATACTCTATAGCATGGATTTTTTCTGAATTTTTGTAGGATGAATAACTAGGAAAGAGACTAAGCTGTAAACATAAAAATATTTTCCCCCAAACACCCACACCTTCAAAACCACAACTTACCCAGTTTTTGCAAAACTTGCCCAGTACTTCAGAATAGACCTACTCAGAGTTTCCTCCGCTTTGGTGTAATTAGCTCTTCTCTCTAGAGGTAGTCCAAATACAAATTCTATCTCATAGCCATGTGGTACTCCCATCCACTCTGGCCAAGGTAGTTTTGAAGATCGGTGCTCAAAGAAGTATAAGAAAGCGTTGTTCTGTGCCTCGGCAAAATGTTTTACAAACTCCACAGTAGGACATATGAAATTGTAATCTCCAACGATATCATCCATAGCATCACGGTAATTGAAAGGGATCTGCTCTTCCTCCCAGTCCGTATAGTGAAAAGCAATAGATTCCAATCCCACTTCACTTGTTTCTGGGAAGGATAGTGCCAAGCCTGCCCGGAATTCTGCTTCATTGATAAGACTGTTGTTATCTTTGCTGAAGCCAGGTGCTCCGTACACAAGGAAAGCCGTACCTTCATCTTTGTTCACCCCCAACAAGATCTGTGTTTGTTTAAAATTCCCATTCTTCAACAAGGTTCCAGGGAGATCAGCAAGAAAATCGCCATCAACTACTGGAGTGAAGTACAGCTCTAAAAGAGCCCTGTATGGTAAAACAGACACTTCATTGGCAAGTATATCCTGGGGATCTTTGCTCTGAAGACAAATAATGATCTCTGTTTCGTTGCTGCTCGTACAGTGGAGGAGTTTAGCTAGAGCTAGAGTTCTCCGTGTTGCTTCAGAGGGTAGAAGTGCACCCCAAGGGGCATTCCCAGCACCGCTCTGCATGATTGCCCTAGTGAAGAGAGGATGGCTTTGTGGAGAAAGGAGATGGTAGCTGACACCTCCTGCTCCAGCACTCTCTCCAAACAATGTCACACTTTTAGGATTCCCACCAAAAGCTGCTATGTTGTCTTGGACCCACTGAAGTGCCAGTCGTTGATCAAACAACCCTGCATTTCCTGGAGCATCTTCATTCCCTGGCAAAGCCAAGAATCCCAATGCTCCTAACCTATAATTCATTGAAACAACAATGACTCTCTCAACACGGGCTAGAAATCTGCCATCATAGACATTCAATGAGGAGGTCCCGGTCTGGAAGCCACCACCATAGATCCATACCATGACAGTTGCATTTTTAGGCTTGGGTGAAGGAACCCACACATTGAGGTAGAGGCAATCTTCACTGAGGTTTGTGTTGGGGTTCCACATCTCGGATCCTGAAAACCCAGGGAAAGTGTTGTCTATGTTCTGATAGCAAGAGTTTGCATACTTGGTGGCATTCCAGACCCCTCCCCATTCTTCCCGAGGCTGCGGCTTTTTGAAGCGAAGTCTCCCAACAGGTGGAGCTCCATAAGGAATCCCGAGGAAGGCTGAAACTGTTCCACCAAGCACAGGCAATGTCAACCCTTTGACTCTTCCACTCTTAGTAGCAACGACGGTGTCATCTTGAGGGACCACCTTCTTGACTAACATGTACAGCACAAGAAGCCACATGAGAGTGCATGCTCCATTAGGGTATATCATGTTTCCTGAAATGAAATGGGGGAGGGGGAATATGTTTTCAGTGCAGCAATGCAAGAGGTGACTGCATTCAGGGAAAAAATGTGCTATAGCCTAAAAGCATTAAAAATCACAAAATAGTAGGCATACCCTGGGGAGACCAAGAAATGAGCTAACTTGAGGACCTAAGACCAAGCTCTCCTAGTGCTTTGAATTAGAAGAAGAAGAAGAGTTTGGATTTGATATCCCGCCTTTCACTCCCCTTCAGGAGTCTCAAAGCGGCTAACATTCTCCTTTCCCTTCCTCCCCCACAACAAACACTCTGTGAGGTGAGTGGGGCTGAGAGACTTCAAAGAAGTGTGACTGGCCCAAGGTCACCCAGCAGCTGCATGTGGAGGAGCGGAGACGTGAACCCGGTTCCCCAGATTACGAGACTACCGCTCTTAACCACTACACCACACTGGCTACAAATGTAGCCAAATAGGAGTGGAGAAAAATGAAAAGGGAGGGGTACACAAGCATTGACCTCATCATAAGACCACAGGAAGTTGTTGTACACAGTAGAGGCAGGATATTGGTCTATCTAGCACAATTCTACCTAGAGATTGTGGTGGTGATTGAATTTGAGACCTTGTGCATGCAAGGTAGATGTTCTACTACAACTATCCCCATCCTCCCTGAATGACCACATATCGGGGGTTCTGTCATAGTGGATTTCCTGCATTGGTAGGGCATGTAACGCTTGAGGTCCCTTCCAGCTTAATGAACCAACCATTTTCACTTATAGTCAGCTTCTCCCATTTCTAGTCAAATTCACCAGGAGTGCTTTCTCCAAGGGTGGCTCCTGCCCATTGAGACTGGTAAGGCAGACCAACACTAGTTGGAGCTTCAGACAGACAGGTAGAGCAAACTAATTCTAGTTTTGCCCACCCTGAGAACTGTTAGAACCCAAAACCAAGATTTTGTCAAAGATGTATAACTTGCTGTTGAAATGGAATACTCAGGATGAAACGGTGAAATCTGCTATGATTAAATGGGCACAAGATGTTGGACATAACATAATGATGGCTGACTGGGAACAGTTATGGACCACAGGTATGACGTTTACGGCATGTAATGCCTTAAGAGAGAATATTATGAAAATGATATACAGGTGGTACATGACACCAGTCAAGCTTGCAAAAATCTATCATTTGCCCCATAATAAATGTTGGAAATGTAAAGAAACTGAAGGCACATTCTTTCACCTTTGGTGGACGTGCCCAAGGATTAAGGCTTTCTGGGAGATGATCTATAATGAAATGAAAAAGGTATTTAAATATACCTTCCTGAAGGAACCAGAGGCCTTTCTCCTGGGCATGGTTGGCCAATTGGTGCCAAAGAAGGATAGAACTTTCTTTATGTATGCTACAACAGCAGCAAGAATACTTATTGCAAAGTATTGGAAGACACAAGAGCTACCCACCCTGGAAGAATGGCAGATGAAGGTGATGGACTATATGGAACTGGCGGAAATGACTGGCAGAATCCGAGACCAGGGAGAAGAGTTGGTGGAAGAAGATTGGAAGAAATTTAAAGACTACTTACAGAAATACTGTAAAATTAATGAATGTTAGAACGATGTCAGAATGAAGTTACGTGGTTTTAGCAGCAATATTACAAAGGAGTATGTAAAAATGGATTGTTAACAGGTGAGAATCTAAAGTTACAATATATTAAGTTAAAGGATTAGGATAAAAACAAAGAGGGAAAGGATTTGCTGAATTAGCTAACTGGATTGGAATACAAAAAAGGGAGGTGTGAGGAGGTCAGGGAAACAAGTAAATGAAAGAGAAGACATGGAAAGACTTGTTTGTTTTTAAATGCTTTTACTTTCTGTATTTTGTATTTTTTCTTTTTTTTCTTTTCTTTTTCCTATTTTTGTAACCTTTTTTTGAAACTTCAATAAATATCATTTAAAAAAAAAAAAAGTTTTGCCCACCCTGATGAGGTCTACAAGGACAATACAGAGACTATGGAAGAGGAAGGTTACATGGTCATCACTGCCTCCTGTGGGAATGAGTTCCATAGTTTAGCTGTGTGCTGTATGAGGAAGTATTTTCTTGTTTCTGCCCAACTTGATTCAGACAAAAGAATGCAGAGGAACCTACAGACTGAACCATTTGGTTACTTCACAGGATCTAAAAGAATTAGGTTGACACCATTTTGAGGCATTTCATGGAGAGCAAAATATCCATATCTTATGCCAAGTCATATTTTTACACCAAACTCTTTCCTGGAAACTTTGTGTGTGTTTATTCATCACGCCACTAACGACTGCGCTTTCTTTCATATCGAGTTTTCTTTCAGGAGTTATGTTTGAGATGCAGGCCTTGATATTGACCTTAGTAAAAAACAACAACCTCCAAAATGATATTGCAGTAACTTGGGCGTTGTGAGTAATTTCTCCTTGAGGAGGGTGAAAAGATATGGGGGAAAGGAAAGAATTCTGTGTCCTCATTACTGTCATTGTAAACAGTCTGTTCTAGGTTATTGAGTAGTACTTCTATCCTTAAAAGGAGCAGAGTTAATTTCTGTGCAAAATACAGCTGTGTGGCTCATTGAGGGCCATTTTGCTGGCTGTCTGCTTACAGTTGAAAGCTGAGAGTGGAAAATAGGAACATTTTTGCTTGAAGTGCTTCCTAAGTATGCGAGAGCATCAAAGGAACAGAAGGAGAGGGGGATTATCAGAGACAATATTTCACAGATTCAGTCGAATGTGAGAGCAAATAAAAAGCCATGGCGTACAGGCCGAATACTGAAGGAAAGGATTTAAAGTAATAGTAGACTTTATGTAAAGCCTCTTGGGGCGTTTCATAAAGAACTGTAGAGCATGATAAAGGAGCATTAATCTATCCTTAAACTTTGCTCACCTAAGATCTTACAGGAAACTGCACACCTGTGAACTTTGTGCTTGCCAGGTGTTTGGCAATGACACTGGGCTTGAATGCAGAATGCTTGCGCAAGGTTTTACATGGAGATCCACAGCCCTGTGTGCATGATATTTTCATGAATATATGCATTTTTTGTACATATCACTTGGCTGGGAAAGATGTTCATTCACTTCTTTGTTCCCCTGGGTGGGTCATGCCATTCCCCTTTCCTTCAGTGTTCCTGAAAGTGTCCTGCTATGCCCATTGACTTCAACATGCCATCACAACATTCCACCAAAAAAAGGCCCACAGAGCAGTTTACATATCAATGAAAATATGACCGTCTCTATTCTCAGGGTTACATTTGAAGATACCTGACACAAAAGGGAAGTGGATTGGGGTAGAGAAGGAGATAAGAAAACTCAAGTGCCAGTTGTCATTTACAAGTCCTTCTAATGACCGGACACGAAACATGATTTAGAGCACATCCACGTGGTGATTTAGATGGATGATGTGTTCACAGAAATGACCAAATCTTCTTGGAGATGTTATGTTAAGTAATATGTTTCATTGTTGAATATGTAAGTTTATGTCTAGAGATGATGGATAAAACAAACACCATTGGCTGCACTGCTGGCTAAGTGTTTAATGGTTATTGTATTCACAGTTGTTTTAAAACCAATAAAAAATTATTTTAAAAAGACAAAAGCAGTGACATAGAAGTCAATGGGTACAGTATCACATACAGGAGCACAGAAGTCAATGGGCATGGCATGACATACCCACAGGAATGTTATGATCAAAGCACGGGTGGCCAGGCATGTGCTTGGTTAGAGGCACTCATTTTATTAATTTAATTAATTAATTAATTAATTGAATACACTGTCCCTTTCTACAACAGATTGGAGCTCATTCCCAACTAAATGTGTTTAGCATCAGGGCAGGAAACACAAATACTTTCCATTCCTAAGTGGGAGAAATAATGGTGAAATATCAAGGTGGGGAAAATAATGGTAAAATATATTATTTTGTTGTACTGCAAATGCCTGAGAGGAGGAATCAGGGGGAGGATGACACACACACACACAGTAGTAAAGTGGCTATGTTGGTGAAATTCTGTTTCTTGCTTTTCTGTTTATAAATGGGTACTTTTAAGAAATTATAATGTACATAAGAGGGAGAGAAGTAGGTGGCTCTCAGCCTTTTCAACATAGTTGGCAAAAGACTGAGTGATGGATGGGGCTTTTTATGACTTCAGAAGAAAGCAAGCTGATTCCTAAGCGTATCAGATTTCAGCTTGCCTGCCTACACCCCACCAACTTCTTCAGTGAGGCTGCAGTCCTAACCCAACTTATTTGAGAGTAAGCTCCATGGAATTCAACAGGACTTCCTTTACTTCCAGAATGTTGAATTAACGTGGAGGAATCATCAAAAATCTATAAAGAATCTTGCCTGCCCTGGTTTTGATCTCTCTCTCTCTCTCTCTCTCTCTCTCTCTCTCTCTCTGTGTGTGTGTGTGTGTGTGTGTGTGTGTGTTTGTGTATGCCTAGAGAGAGAGCCTGGGTTTCAGTTCAGGAGGGGGAGATAGGTGTAAAATGAACAAGATTACCCGGCTTAAAGGTTGGGCTTTGGTTTCAAACTGCAGAAGGTACAACAGGCAATTTGATTCAAGAATTGATTTGCAAGTTAATTATCAACAGTACAAATACAAGTGAGCACTGTGGAGGCTGCCTTCTGAGCAAGATAAGGAGATAAAAAAGTGAAGAATCAGAAAAGGAGGAAAGGAGATTGTGAGAGGTGGGTATGGAGAACTTTGCACTGTATCCAATGCACATTTACTCAGAAGTCAAACCTATCCAGTTCAGTCCTATTTATTTCCTAGCAAAGCGTGCCTATGATTTGCAGGCTGATTCACCTTGACTTCTTCCAGTCTTCCTGTGGCAAATAATATATACATGATTAAAAAAAGAAAGCAACAATATATCAGGGCAACTCACCCCTTCACACATACTTCTTTTCACAAAGTGGACATGATCCTGTTAAAACTAACTAAAGCAGTGTGTTGTGATGACTTCACATTGCACACACCTCAATACACATTTCAATGTCCCTGTGGGAACGCAAATGGATGGTGATAATGGGCAATTAACAGCCTAACAGCTACACAACTTCCACATAGTTCTCTGAAGAATCGAAGGCAATGATTTCTGCAAATGGTGAGAACTGATCAAGCAGACAAGTTTTTACTAACAATTTTGCCATCAAATCGAATAGGCCATAGCAAATTGTAATTCTTTTTCCTTTTCCTTTTTGCATTAGTCAGTGATTGCAAATCCCATGCCAAAAAGAAGCCCCATTGAGGTCAATGGGTTTCCTTTCAAGTAGGCACAAAGAAGCAACCCAATTCAGTTCAAATTCTGCCGAATTTGCACTTCCTAAAACCAAAGGCGTCATTCAAAATTTGCACTTCTCCGAATTTTGCAACGCAATTCACCAAGAAAGCATTGGGATACAAAAGGGTATATACTAGTGAAATGGGCATAAAATGTGTGTGTCAATGAAAATAACATAAAAATGCATTATATTAGGGGAAATTGCTTGCAAACATGTATATGGCATGCAGAAAATGCTGAAGAGTTTTCATGATGTGGAAATGTGAAGAGCTGAGTTTAAGACTGGAAAAATAAGAAATTGAAAGAAATCAAAACTAAAAAAAATGTCCATCCTTATTCCCAAGTAAAGGCGAAGAAAGCTGTGTCCTAATGGTATTCTAGGACACAGTTAGTCCAATTAATTTCCACATGGTGCAAATACATAAAACAATGTTCTGGCTTGCAGCCAAGTGTCAGCTATTAAATATGCACACTGGAACCACACATAATGTTGTGCATGTCACAATTATCCCTATAACAGCTTGTGCTGACTTATTTTTTCCTGCATGATGGAGCAAAGCACTCAAGAGCAGGTACGAAGTTCCCTTTCAAATATTTTCCAAAAGCCAACTCTCAACTAAAAGTTAAACTGCCATTGTTTGGTATGAAATATTTGATCCTGTGCTTAGGTTAACGTGAAACAGACTGAAGAAAATAAAACTCACTTTATTACTTCCAGAACAAAAGAAGTCAGAAGATTCTTTTAGGCTGTCATCCAAATGGAGATACATTGGTAGATGCATCTACTTTTCTTTTCTTTTTAAAGTTTTTTTCCATTAGTCTTTATCCATGAAAGTTCAACAGAACAGACTTCAGTATTCTCATTCAGTGAAGCAATACAATTTATTTCAATGATTGTTTCCTCTCCTTGCAAATCTTTAGCCAACCAAGAAATCTATACACAAGGCTGTGTAATCTCTATTTAAATTCAGCAGATAGTTGAATTAATAAATGATTTTTTTTAGTTCAGTTTAATTTACTTAGCCCAGAATCCATTGAATAATACTATGGTTCGATACACATGCCTGCTTATTTGTTCCATCAGTTCCATTTGCAGAATAGACTTTGTATTCCCAGCAGAGCAACAAATGGACAGAGCATAACGTTTTAGTAGACTGCAATTCCCATACAAATCGAGCTTAACTATAACTTATGCTGATAGAGATCAACGTAAATAGAGAATCTCTTACCCCGTTTTGTATTACAGAGATGCCAAAGTGTGTGTTTTTTTAAGATCCAAGATCTTTAATACTTCAGCAAAAGGCAGTGTTCAGCTGCTTCTTTAATGCTTGCAAATTGGACTGTGCTGACATTATAATGAACTGTTTAAGAGAAAGCTCGCGAGACTTGGCAACAGCAATTTGATCTGAAAGCAGGCGGTCTTAATATCTGACATCTGCTCAAAGGAGAATGCCGTCATTGTTGAAAGGCTTTGCAGTTAAGTCAAGTAGGGAATCGGAGCATTCCAATTTTCAGGATTTCGTCAGGGACGGGGAAATGAAGGAAGTGCATACATATTTAGAAAAGCCAGTCCATTGGAAGTACAAAGTATAAAAACAATGAAGCTTTTTCCATGCATTTTCCCATGTTTAGTAACATTCACATGCAGGTCTAGAGGAATCATTGTTATCATATGAGTGATTGGTGGGACTTGAGACTTTGTTTGGCACCATCACCAGTATGGGGTGGGTGGGAGGAAGAGAGAGACAATAATAATGCAGAAGAGAAATAAATTTAAATTTAATTCAAAATAAAACACACTACAGTTTTGTTTTGTTTTGTTTTAGATGATTTTTATACTGCTCTTCATAGAAGCCCCAGGATGGTTTACAACAAAGTCAAACAAGCTACAGATAATGCATAAAATCCCAGGTGTGCCACCTGATATCTGGACCACCTAGCAGAGACTTATTTAGATCCCCCCCCATGGTATTATTTTTCCATCTCTCGGGTATGGAGGCTATCATTAAAATCCCCCACAATGCCCAGAAGCAACATTATGTAGGGGGAATTGTGATGAATTAAAAAGGGAGCTGCAAGCCACCTAGTGCCAATTTCAGTACTGCTGTTGTTCATCACCACTATTATTACCACTGAAATTTCCTGCAACCCACCAGAGGCACTTTGCTCAGTTGTGGAGCAGACCCTACCCAAATGCTTTTCAGGAATGCACTTTCCAGGAATGGTTAGATTGGTCTCAACTAGGGCCAGGGCCTTTTCAGTACTGGCCCCGACTTGGTGGAACGCTCTATCACAAGAGACTAGGGCCCTGCAGGACTTGACATCTTTCCGCAGGGCCTGCAAGACAGATCTGTTCCGCCTGGCCTTTGGTTTGGACTCAGTCTGACCCTTATGTTTCCCTCCCCTTATGGTTTTGATCTATGGGCTACTTTTAAAATGAGGCTGCATTTAAAATTGCATTTTAACCTGTATTTTAAATTGGGGTTTTTTCCCCCCTATTATGTTTTTACTGTAATTTTACTGGTGTTACCTCCCTGAGCCCGGCTCTGGCTGGGGAGGGCGGGGTATAAATAACATTATTTGTTTGTTTGTTTGTTTGTTTGTTTGTTTATATTATTAAGCCACTTATATGTGCCTTTTTTGTATGTGTAAAAAGTGTAAGGCAGCATACAAAAGCATGAAAGGCATACAAGGCATCATAAAACATTAAAACAGCATAAAATACAATTCTACTACAAAGCGTGTTCACCTGTTACAGTCATTGAGTGTGCCATCTTTGTATCTGTGCACACCTGGAGTTGATCCTTAAACTCATAGAACCATAGAGTTGTAGAGCTGGAAGGGACAACCAAGGTCACCTTGTCTAACCCCCTGCAATGCAGAAATCTCAGCTAAAGCATCCAAGAGCGATGGCCACCCAACCTCTTCTTAAAAACCTCCAAGAAAGAAGATGGTGGCGTGGCTGGTGTTGTCGGCTGTGACATCATGTGTGTGTGAGAGGGGGGGCGTGTTTGCAGATTGGAGGAGATGGAGGCAGAAAAACAGGAAAGAATTTTGATTGGATGCAGCTTTCAGCAGCTGTTCAAGTTGCACCCTATAAAACAGTCTTCTGGCTTAAATGAGTGTCTGTTTCTCTTCACACACTGTGTGTGGGAGGACTACTCTCAATCTGAATTTAAATTCGTGAATTCAAGTCAGGAGAATGAATGTCAAGGAGGAAGAACGGTACAGTCCAAAAAATACCGTGCCATCTTGGAACAAATAAGTCAACATTCTGGACTTTTTAATTTGCATAAATCTGACTTTGTTGGAGTGACATCATTGTGTGAACGCAGCATAGATTTTTAAAAAGCATTTCCTCCTTTCTTGTTAAAACAGCCTGTGCTCCTGCTTCTGTCACTTTAATTGGTCAAGGTGAGGACAGTTTAATTGGGTTTACTCAAAGCTGTTGACAAGGTTTTCTTTTTAGATCTGTCCTTTTTCTCTCTCTTTAGCTCCTAGTTTGTACAAAATTATGCCAGTGCTGTGGAGAAGTGAAAAGTTTGCACTTAAAACAGTTTTTTAGCCTCTAGCTGAGTCTTTAGATTTTGTTTGCTGCTCTGAGTGCATCTTTAGTGCATTTAAAAACTCTCCAATGAGTAGTTTAACACTTCCATGCTCCCATGAATGCAAATGATGGTGCAGATAACGTTTTACCTGAATAAAGTAGTAAATGTAAATGCTTGGGAAGGGAGATTGGAACCCACAGTGGGGACTAAGTTGCAATTATTGTTGTGATTATTACTTTTCCTTTGAGCCCAGTAGTGCTGAGAATGGTGGAACTTAAGCTTACAGAAACTGGGAAGAAGAAACCACATGATATACTTCAAAAGAAGCAAGGCACACAGGATTTGCGAGTGTATTTGGAAGTGAGCCCCATTGAGTTCAATTGTATGCTCTCCCAGGTACATATGTATAGGCTTGCAGGCTCAGGTTTTATTAAACCTATGAAGCAGGGATGGGAGTCTGGACCTAGGTGGGCCTCCAGCCCTGTGGGCCAACTTTGACAGGTGACGAAGGATGCATATCTGTTAAAGTTCTCTCACATCCGCTTTTGATTCAATCTGTAGGGACAAATTATGGCAAAAACTATATGAAACAGATATTGATAGACGACTTCTCAAAATACTTAGAGAGTTACATTCAGACACCACAGTTAAAATCAGAACTGGGATGTCAGGCAACTATACTGACCCACTGCCACTGGGGAAAGGGGTTAAACAGGGCTGTTTGTTAGCGCCGTTCCTCTTTAATTTCTATATAAATGACATTGTTCAACATATGGCAAAGCATAACTCATCAGCTCCTGCCCTGGAAGGCAAACACCTGAATATATTACTATATGCTGATGACATGGCTGTCATGGCACTTACTCGAAGGGGCCTACATAGCATGCTGGAGGGGCTCGCAGCTTATTGTTCCCAAAACTCTCTAAAGATAAATTATGACAAAACAAAAATTGTGGTATTCACTAGAGCTCGCCACACATTTAGATGGTCTTTAGATGAACACAAAATTGAACAGTGTCTTTCTTTTAAATATCTTGGTATCACTTTCCAAGCTACATCTAGCTGGCTTGCCCACTTCAAGACTGTAGCCCTTCTAACACGTAGGACAATCGGTGCTTTGCTCAGCTTTTTTATTCGAGGGAGGGCAACTGGTGATCCCGGCATTAAAAGCTTTTGTTGGAAAAGTGATTCCCAGATGCTATATGGAGTAGAACTCTGGGGATGGAATCAGAAGCTGTTAGAACGGCTTGAAATCTTCCAAAATTTTTACCTCAGAAGAATTCTAGGCCTCCCTCAGAGTACTCCGGCAGCTCTCCTAAGAGTGGAAGTAGGATTACCTTCTGTGTCTGCCAGGGCCCACTTAAGATTCCTGCGTTTTTTCATCAACCTCACAGATGCCCCGAACACCTTATTGGCTAAACAAGCCTTTGTATCAGTACAAAATAATACTACTTGGTATAAAAACCTACTAGATATCCTATCCAGATACAATCTACCTGAGTTTAATACCCTTAAATTGTGGAGCCCTGATAAAGTTCGGGAATGGATCTTTGAAAAAGACGCCTTTTTGGACTCCACAAAGATAAAAACTCTGGGTTTTCCTACTGGTTTCCCGAGTAAAAGCAGTCAAAATCTGTGCCAACTACTTGGTGGAGATCACTGATCCCACCCTTCGGAGAGCTTTCACTATGGCACGGTTTCAAACACTGCCAACTGCATATCTGACCGGTAGATTCACAAAAACCCCAGTAGAACATCGTTTATGCCCTTGCCTAATGAAAATTAAAGAGGATCTTACACATTACCTCCTCTATTGCCCCATCTACTCGGGCTTTAGAGACGCATTGCTGCAAATTATACCCAACTCTATAACCAATCCTGAAGATAGAGTAAAATTTTTGTTAGTTGATGCAAACCCACGTATTACCCATGTGGTAGCGGTTTTTGTGATGAAGGCCATGAAAGCCAGGGAAAGACTTATGGATGACAATGTAAAGACCCCTTCATCGTCTGTTTAACTCGTTGCTCGTTTTCCCTCTCTTTCTATTTTGTGGGATGAAGGTTTTGTTGGCGTAGTATGTAATGAATTTTAATATTTTTTTTTAACTATTGTTATGTTAATGTTTGTGTACAGGCATGGTCCTCACAATAAACGGATTTGATTTTGTTAAAGTTCAAAGGGGTTCCCTGTAACCACCAATCATAGAATCATAGAATTGTAGAACGGGAAGGGACCCTGAGGGTCATCTAGTCCAACCCCCTGCAATGTAGGAATATGCAGCAGTCCCACATGGGGATTGAACTTGCGACCTTGGCGTTATCAGCACCACGTCAGAACCAACTGAGCTACCCATCTGAAGAGGGAAAATGTCTGTTTGCCTCAGAGTCCAAAGGGATCTTCCAAGGGGCTCACAGTCTCCTTCTTCTTCTTTAAATAAATTTATTTAAATTTTCAGATTTACATACAGTCATCAAGCAAACAAAGAAAACGATTTCCATAAGTTCCCTTGGACTTTCCCCCTCCCTTTTGTGGGCCCTTATCTTAACTTTTTCTCCTGCATCTTCTCTGTTAGTTCAGTTCCATTAAATCTCTGAAAAAACCATAGTCCAATGTTTAACTACAAGCGTCATTCCAATCCTAGTAATAATTTTAATTGTTTACAATGATTTTTTAAGGTAAATTATATATTTTCCCCATTCCTTATTGAAATTTTGGTCATCCTGATTCCTAATTCTTCCGGTCAGTTTTGTCATTTCTGCATGGTCCATCAGTTTAATCTGCCAATCTTCCCTGGTAAGGACTGTGCCTCCTTTCCAGCACAGTCTTGGTAATAGCGATAGTCTTCACTTGAATGCTGTTATTTTAACCAGTATGCAAATATATTCATTCTATGTGCCAATTTTATAGCTTTGTTTTTCATCTTTTAATTTTCATAAGTTATAATTGCTCTCTCTGTTATATATATACATTATAAAATGAAACAAAAGCAAACTTTCCAAAAAAGAAAATAAAAAAGGAGCTCACAGCCCATGAAAGGGGTGGGGAACAGCATAGTATAGCCAATCCTATTGGAGCTCATTGATGTCAATCAACTGATTGGTGCCATCTACAAAGGGCCGTCTTAAGCATATGCAGTGCTGGGGTGCAAAGATCTGCTTGGCACCCCGCCCCGGTTGACCTTTTTTTAGGGGGGGACCCCCAAAGTTGTCAACCTTTTTTTAGGGTGGGCCGGCAAGGCAAGCATGGCAGAGCTGGCCTGGCCGCCCACCTCAGCAACAACAGAGGAGCCCGAGGAGGTGGTGACAGCAGAGTAAGGCCGGGGCCGGGTGCCGGGGGGGCGGCAAGCAGAGTCCAGTGCAACAGCAGTCGAACTCGAGGCAGCAGCGGTGAATGAGCGAAGCCGGGCACCTGATGTGAGCAGATTCTTGATGGCCCACCAATCCCAGGTGCGCAGGAGGGTGGAGCTGGTGGGCTGCCTCAGCAGCTCCCTCGCCCACAACAGAAGAGCTGAGGCACTCTGATGGATTCTGATCCACTTGGCAGCGGCTGTTGGCTCTTCCCAATCCCTGGACTCCAAATCCCAGTCCAGGACTCTTGGTCTGCCGCCCCTGAAAACCCGGCGCCTGGGTGCCCCACACCCCTAGAACCTATAGGTAAGATGGCCCTGCATCAACAAGTTCCACTTGCAAAGGAAGATTTGGGGCCTTCCTTTGTTCCTCTGTAGCCATGTCTTTACTTGTCCCACACCTGATGTAGGACAGGTGGGTGGTGTGGAAAATGGCCTCGCAGGTCAAATTGAGACCTGTGCCAGGAACCGATAGCCAGATGTCCCCCACTACTACAATAAAAAAGGGAAAGTTAATATGGTTTAAAATACGTAGGCAGAGCTTTAGACTTCTTCTTCTTCTTTTTTGTATTACATGAAAATTCCCCAATAATTCTCTCGCAATGAAAAGGTGAAATAGATATATGTTTCTGTAGAATAACTTTCCAATATTAGGAAAGTTCACGCTACTTACCTGCTCATTTCAGCAAATGGGACTATCTTTAGCTACATTACAACCAGTGAAATACTTCTTTTATATATATATGTCAGTATATCATGCAGAGCTATAATTTTCTCTTTATTGTTCTAATTATAGCTTCTTGTAAAAAAATTATTCATTAGTAAAATTATAAGTTGCTAGTTTACAGAAAAAAAATCAGGAAAAGACTAAATGAAAAAATGGTTCTTGGTATAGTTCTTGTCATAGCTAGGTATTTCTTATGAATATATTTTTCTGGTATATTTATTGCACATAAATAAATGTATTATTTTGGTGTTTGCTGGGCACTTCTAAAAAGCTTCCTGGTTAGCCTGCATAGTCTTAAAATGTACTAAAAATGAACAAAGCAAAATGGAAGCAACTTCAGAGTACAAACTCCTTTCGGAACAGAAGGCTCTGTCAGTCTGTGAAAATGCAATTGGTGTGTGATCATGAAGATCTCATTATAAACATCTGTGAAAAATTTCCAGGAATATGTCACGATTTCTGCATACTGTGTAAGTATATCACGGTACCATCTGCTTAGAAGACATGGCTTGTCAGAAGGGTGTGTTAGTGGGAAAATATAGTAAATGTGTTCAAGTATGCAGATATATTTGATACGTAAAGCATGCCACTGAAAATGACTTCAAAACAGGTTGGTTTTAGCGGAGAGCAAAACATAAGAACATAAATAGCATAATATGGTGAGATCTTTGAAAATCTCCCTTCAGTGATGGTGGTCTGGGGTCACGTAGTGACTGCCTGTGCAATCTGAGTCTTGCCTACTCAGAAGTAAGTCCAAATTAGTTTAATGGGTCTTAGCAGGGCTTTTTTTTTCTAGAAAAAGAGTTGCTTGTTGACCTTTGACCCAGCCAAAGTTGTGCAGGTTTTTTTTTAGGGGGGATGTGGGGATGTGCCACCCCATTCTGCAAGGCCAGAATGCAACAAAGAGGTGAGTTCTGGTTGCAAAAAAGCCCTGGGTCTTAGTCCCATGTATGTACTAATACTGTGACCTGCACTCCTATACACACTTAGGTGCTGTTGTTGGCATCCATCTGTCTTGAGAGACAATGGAGTGTGCCTCCAGGGGAGAAGTCAAACTGCTGTGGTGGCAGCACTGAAGTGACCCACTTGGGGCACAACCTTGGGCAGTGTGTATGGAGGTCCTGTGCTGTCCAGACAAGACATGCCCCCCCCTCAGTTTTGCTTAGAGCTTATAGCAGTAATAAGCTTAGAGCTTAGAGCTTATTACAGTGGTACCTCGGGTTAAGAACTTAATTTGTTCTGGAAGTCTGTTCTTAACCTGAAACTGTTCTTAACCTGAGGTACCACTTTAGCTAATGGGGCCTCCTGCCGCTGTTGTGTGATTTCTGTTCTCATCCTGAGGTAAAGTTCTCAACCCGAGGTACTATTTCTGGGTTAGCGGAATTGGTAACCTGAAGCATCTGTAACCTGAAACATATGTAACCCGAGGTAGCACTGTACTTATAACAGTCATTTAATAATAATTATTATTATTTAATAGTAATAATAATAAGAAGAAGAAGAAGAACAATAACAATAACAATAATTTATTTATATCCTGCCCTCCCCAGCCGAAGCCGGGCTCAGAGCGGCTAACAAAAAGTAACACAACATTCTAAAATCAATTCATTTTAAAATCAATTCAAAAACAAATTAATGACAACCATTGGGCTAGCGTTCTGTGAGGATTACCAAAGGAGGGGGTCAGACTGTGCCTTGGCCAAAGGCCTGGTGGAACAGCTCTGTCCTGAAGGCCCTGCGGAAAGATGTCAAGTCCCGCAGGGTCCTAGTCTCTTGTGACAGAGCGTTGCACCAGATCGGGGCCACAGCCGAAAAAGCCCTGGCTCTGGTTGAGGCCAGCCTAACCTTCCTGTGGCCCGGGACCTCCAATATGTTTTTGTTTGAAGACCGTAAGGTCCTCCGTGGGACATACTAGGAGAGGCGGTCCCTTAGGTACGAGAGTCCTAGGTCGTATAGGGCTTTAAATTTCTCTATTTGTGCATTGCATCATGGCTATTACAGTCTAAAAGTGTCATCATCATCACAGGATATTACAGTACACAAAAATGTTAGCATTTCCTTTCCTTATTTATTTGATTTTTATACTACCCTTCACCACAAGAGGCCAGTTCACAAGATCACGTGATCTGTGATCACAGATACCACAAGACTACATAGTGTGCATTGCTATGTGACAATGGTAAAACCATCCTAGTACACAATGAATGAGTAGGGGGTTCATCAAAATCAAAGCAGATTCCCAAACTACCACAAAATTTTAAGGAGAAAATAGGAATATGACAAAATAGCCATATTTGCCTTGCATTATAGTGGTTTCAAATTTCAGTGGCCAGGGAATATGTTGCAGAAAATGTAGGCTTAGCTTTGTAAGAAACTTGCATTCTGATGTAAATTAACAATAAGATATTGCCATGAAAATCCCTCGTCAGAATAATATGTGAAATGAATTGTTGGACACCTCAGCTCATCTGCCACAGGTGTTTGACATTACATACACTTCTTTTTATTTTGTCACTTTATAGGTTGGAGCTGTTAACAGGTGGGTTCCTGACATTACATATCAAGTTGGTAATAGCTATGGAGCCGTTAACAAGTGGGACTGTTTGTCATGAAGCCTTGCGCCAGTGTGAGCTATGGAGCTATTAACACATCTGCTTTTGACAGGGGACCTTTTAACAACATCTTCACAAGTCACCTGATATAATACATGTGTCAATCCATTCTACAAAATGGCGAAATGGATCTTTGAAGCAAGGCAGGGGTGCAAGGACAGTGACTGCCATGAGGTAACCTCTCATTAATGAATCCCTGACACAACAGGTGTTGCAGCCTCAATAACTGTGAAATAATGATAAAAGTGGAGAATGGCCAAATCAAAGATGAGGAAATAAGAAAAGATCAAATCACAAAGAGGGGGCGGACAGCAGACTAAGGTCTTCTTAACTCTCATCCTGTTGTATCCAGAACAAGATGAGACAAATCATTTATCTATGAATAGGTAGTATTCTTTTCCTTTCCTCGAAAGATGACCCGTTACTTTTCTTCACTCCTTAAGGAGGGGACAGGGGTGTAGTTCAGGGGAAATGATCCAGGGAAAGGGTTAAATCTGCCCCCCTTCCCCGGCTGCTGCTATTTCACTCTGGATCACTTGATCCTACTGGCTATGCTCCCCTGACTCTGATGGCTCCAACCTGATGGTCCATGTCTGAACCAGGGATACTTACGTTTCTATACAGGTTCCCCATGCCTATGCTTGTCACCTTGATCATGCAAGGGTCAAATCATATGGGGAGCCTAGGCATGCTACAGGTGACTACAGTTTCAGCCCTTCACCAGCAGCATATGGTGCAACAGGGCCACCGGGAATGTGATGGAGGTAGAAAAGCCTTGCAAAATGCAGTGCTTCCTTTAAATGCCTGATGTGATACGGACGTCTTCATCAGGAGCCTGATGTTCCACAGGGGCTTGTATGATCTCTGCTGGGAGGAAGTTCCAAGATCAGCAATGCACCCTATGTGGGGCTACCTTTGAAGGTGACTCAGAAACTGCAACCAATCGAGAATGTGGAAGCTAGACTGGTGACTGGGAGCAGTCACCGGGACCATATAGAACTGCATTGGCTCCCAGTATATTTCCAAGCACAAGTCAAAGTGTTGGTGCTGACCTTTAAAGCCCTATGCGGCTTTGGCCCTATATACTTGAAGGAGTTTCTCCACCCCCATCATTCAGCCCGGACACTGAGATACAGCTCCAAGGGCCTTCTGGTGGTTCCCTCAATGTGAGATGTGAGGTTACAGGGAACCAGGCAGAGGGCCTTTTCAGTAGTGGTGCCCGCCCTATGGAACGTCCTCCCAGCAGATGTCAAACAGATAAACAGCTATGTGATGGTTAAAAGACATCTGAAGGCAGCTCTGTTCAGGGAAGGTTTTAGTATGTGATGTTGTATTGTGCTTTTATAATTTTTTGTTGGGTGCTGCCCAGAGTGGCTGGGCAACTTAGTCAGATGGGTGGCATATAAATTGTTGTTGTTGTTGTTGTTGTTGTTGTTGTTGTTGTCGTCATCACCATCTGGTGGATATGAGCCATGAGTTATCACTATATATATAAAAAAACTCCCTAGGAAATCTCAGTGATTCAGGCAGGGATCTTATAAATCAGGCAGCTCTTAATGCCTGAATAGTCCTTGCAACTCTGGTACTTTTCATACTGCTGTGACAACCGGTTTTACACTTTCTTTCTGCCTTTCAGCATTGTACACCCACATGGACATCAGTCCCTGGCCAGACTGGCAGATGCCTGGAGCTGGTATGTCAATTTGTCACTGCATAATTCATAGCGCATAATGCTACAATACCAAATGGTGTCAAAAATTCGGAGGAGGTGAGGACTATAGGATTTAGTTTGTTTGCAATAAAGATGTCCACACTCCTGCAAACTCTGGAAGAAAGTTTAACAGCACAGAACCTCATGTTGACTCATTGGCTTAAACCTGACAGACATTAACACTGTCAGGTTGGTAATTATTGTTGTCTCTGTCGATGCTAGAGTAAGAGAAGTTCTTCGGAGGGAACAGAAATAGAATAGAATAATTAATACAGTTAGCACGGGCTACCTAAAAAGGAAGCATATACTGAATGATCTCAGCAAGACTCAGAGGGAGAAGCATAACATCAAATTGAAAATGCATACACTTATCCAAACATAACAATTCATCTGGAACCAGACTTACTTATTCTCATTCATTTAACCAAATGTATATATTGCTTGAATGAGGTAAAACCTCTAAGTGGTTTGCAAAAAAATACTAAAATTATCAATAAAAAAATCTAAAAATCTAAAAAAAAAACTAAAAAAACTTTTAAAAATCTTTAAAAAATCTAAAAATCTAAAATGAGTATTATTGTGGCACTGAAACATTGTCAGCTCCATAGATTGAAGCAGTCAAGGGAAGACATATAGGGCAAACTGATCACCGTCCACAGACAGAAAGAAACCTTCCATCCATGCAAGGCTTTTGATCTAGTGGAGAGGCTGTACCGGCAGAGAGCAGAGGTGACTTTTGTTGATTCTCTTTTACTTCTCCAGTCTCCACAGCCACTTCCCACACTGTTCTGCATAGTATCCCAAGCCAATGGTTGTGGTGGGCACTGGGGTGTGTTATTGCCCTCCACCACTAGAATTGTCCTAGTGGATCTCCACTCAGATGATGCTCTCATGCAGCTCTGTGGGAGGGAACAGGGCTCTCCTAGCAACTCTCAGTACTGTAAACAAGCTACACCAGTGTGGTGTAGAGGTTGAGAGCAGTAGTCTCGTAATCTGATGAACTGGGTTCATGTCCCCGCTCCTCCACATGCAGTTGCTGAGTGACCTTGGGCTAGTCACACTTCTTTGAAGTCTCTCAGCCCCACTCACCTCACAGAGTGTTTGTTGTAGGGGAGGAAGGGAAAGGAGAATGTTAGCTGCTTTGAAACTCTGTCGGGTAGTGATAAAGCAGGATATCAAATCCAAATTCTTCTTCTTCTTCTTCTTCTTCTACACTTCACAGGATTTTGTTTGTGTGCAGGGGAACTATATATGGTATATATTGGTATGATACCACTTAAATGTACAGGGGAGATGGGGCCCAATGTAGAACAAGCTCCTGGAACACACAAATGCACAGAGGAAAACCCCATTGTCCTAAATCATGATTGCTGAGTAAATGCATACAAATGTTGCAACAGGCAAATAATTTTGCTTGATCCTGTTCCCCCTACCATTCTCAGAAAGAGCACTGTCACAATATTCTCTGGCCTTGCCCTGATTCCAACATAGCTGTTGGGGCCGAAAACCTCCTCCCACCCCACCTGTCAGGCTACTGCCAACGACTCCCGGCTGGTTGCCCAGGAACATACAAAGAAAAGAGAATGTTTCTTACCGTCCACTTTTTATCCAGTATTTACAGAGAGAGGCTATAGAACCCATACATAATGGTGTTGTCCACCCCGCCCCATCTCTCCCTCTTCCTCATTCATGATTGTCGTCGTCTCTCCTATGGGTGCTGCTACATGCCCTCTGTCTTTGAGCTCTTCGCTCTCCTACTTTCAAGACTCGTTGGGTTCTGGGAGTGGGTGGGATCTGGAATGCTTTCTAAATTAAGGTTACCAGATTTTTTTCAATGAATCCAGGAACATTTTTCAACTTCAATGGATTTTGTATGAGGACTGATTTGTAAATCTGGGGACTGTCCCCGGGAAACGGGGACATCTGGTAACCTTATTCTAAATACATTTTGTCCATTAGCTGTCGGCCCCCTGGTGCTTCCTCCTCCTCTTCCTCTCCCATTATTTCTCAACTTTCCCCCTCATCTTCCTCTGAGCTATGACCTTCCTCAAGCCCCACTGTAAATCTAAACTGTCTTTCTCTTCCTCCTCCCTGGAAGGGTCAAGTTGGGGAGGTAGACTCCACCATTCCTCCTTGGCCCAGTCCCTGACACCACCTTGCATTCAGTATCATGTAGCATTACTAGCAGCTAGCAGCTATACTGGAAATAAAAAAGAAGAAGAAGAAGAAGGTTAAACAAAGAGAAAGTAAAATACCCCAGGATGGTTAAGTCCAGTCAAAGGCAACTGTGGGGTGCGGTGCTCATCTTGTTTCAGGCCGAGGGAACTGGCGTTTGCCATCAGACAGCTTTCCGGGTCATGTGGCCAGCGTGGCTAAACCACTTCTGGTGCAACGCAACACCGTGATGGAAGCCAGAGCACACGGATATGCCATTTACCTTCCCGCCACAGTGGTACTTATTTATCTACTTGCTCTGGTGTGCTTTTGAACTGTTGTGTGGGCAGGAGCTGGGACAGAGCAATGGAGCTTACCCCGTCAAGAGGATTCAAACTGCCAACCTTCCGATTGGCAAGCCCAGGAGGCTCAGTGGTTTTATGAAGAAAAAAGAAACAGCTGGCACACATTTCTCTCAGCTACCACCACGCTGCTTGCAGGTGCATCTCGATCAACCACACAAGTCCTCTAACACCAAGCAAAATAGAAAATTCAGTTAATTGTTTTTGAAAATCCCTTCAGAGCCCCATTTCTTTCCATTGTTCCATTCCAAAAACACAGTCCAAGACCTGGCAGATACCCCAAAAAAGCAGAAGAAAGGGGAGGGGGGAAACATATTTATTTTTTGTTCTGTTTGAATATTTTTTAGCCTATGCAAACTGCTCGTCTTCCGTTTCATTATGACATATAGAATCTAGCAAGATAAACTGGTGCTTCCCCCGCCCCCCAACCACTTTGAACATTTTTACCCCTTAGTGTATTTTATAACTTATTGCAGCATTTTCATGGTAGCCAGCTGCCTCTGGCAGATTGATTGGAACAAAGCAGAGCTCCAAACACATCCAGTCCCCCAAACACAGAATGCAATTGGCCACAGCTACAGCTACAAGTCTATGGATCATTTAAGAAGGATGAGGTCTATTTAATCAAACTCAACATTGTTCAGCGGACACACTATCTTAAAAAGAAATGAGAAAACACACACCCACACCCCCACAATTCTCCTGCATGATGTTCGGACTCCCAATGAAGCCTGGGGTAGCCCAGTGTCCTACAACCGATTTAATTAAAAGCAGTTCTTTTCTGCCAGCTGCAAACAAATAGTTGCTAATAAATTAAAAAGACATGTTCCCCTTATTGATACATGATAATCAGATACCACCAGGTTGTGCTGTTGCACTTATGCACCATAAATATATACAATGGTAGAACTGTGTTACCATGTTTCTCTGATGTTGACATTTGTCTCTGGGAAGGAACTTAAACATCGGAGCACAGAGGCAAGGAATTATTCATTTTCTCCTTCGTTTAACTGCTTAGCATTCTCTTGGAGAGCTTTGGCTCCATCATTCAAGCACCAGCAGTGTTCACCGGCCGTGAACTGTGAACATATGCCACAGGAAACAAATAACTCACCTGGAAAAGCATATGATGCAAAGCTTCTCGAAAGATGGGCAACTACAAAGCTAACATAAACATGTCAGGTCAGAAGAAACCTGCATTGAGTTCAATGGGAATTTATCTCGGGTGATTATATATTGGAGGAATGTGGTCTTAGGAGTCCATTCATCTTGCAGGACACCATTCATTCATTAAGACTAGTATTGCAACCAATGTTCTTTGAATACAAGAGGTGGTGATGGCTACCATCTTAGGTGGCTTTTTAAAAAAGGATTAGACAAATTCATGGGGGACATGGTTATCAATGGCCAGTAGCCAGGCCCAGCTATTCTCCCTCCACTGTTGGAAGGAGCACGGGTGTTGCTGGGAGTCACAAATGTGGAGAGTGGAGGGGGCGCAGAACATTATACCCCAAGAGTGTCTCTCATTGACCCTCTCAGAGCTTCAGCAAACTTGGCTCCAATGCCAATTCCCGGTCCCTTGGTGCAGCCTCCTCCAGCCAGCACTACAATGGTCTGCCTACCTCCTCCTTCTTGTTCCCAGAACACCTTTAGATTTCAAAAAGGATACATTTTTCCCCATGACATTGCTTTGGCAACCCAGGAATTTATTGCCTGGCACAGTTCTGCAGCTTGCATTCTCCTTCCATATCCCAAATGCTATCTAAATACCAACATTTGTTAATTTCTACCATTCACTAACTGACTCTGGACCTCAGATCTATGACAGTATATGCCAGTGATGGCCAAACTTGGCCCTCCAGCTGTTTTGGGACTACAACTCCCACCATCCCTAGCTAACAGGACCAGTGGTCAGGGATGATGGGAACTGTAGTTCCAAAACAGCTGGAGGGCCGAGTTTGGCCATCATTGGTATATGCATTCCAGAGAAAATGTATAAGCCAGGCATAGGCAAACTCTGGTCCTCCAGATGTTTGGGACTACAATTCCCATAATTCCTGACCACTCCTCCTGTTAGCTAGGGATGATGGGAATTGTAGTCCCAAACATCTGGAGGGCCAGAGTTTGCCTATGCCTGGTATAAGCTTTTTAGTAGCTAACAAAGTTACATGTTGGTGTCACAAAATCTCTTTTCCCCTCCCTCTTTCTCTGTGTGTGTGTACCATTTAAAAATTAGGAATCTCAACTGACTTTCATGGTACTTTTCTTCCTCATCCAGATATACACCAGAATGAGATCTGCTTCTTTGTAACAATTTAGAAGCATCAAATGTCCTCCAGCTATTTTCCCATTTACCTTGTGTCCTCAAATTTTCCATTATCCAACATAATAACTTTTAAAAGTCTACAAGGGTTGCTGAGCATGATATTTAGATGCCACTACCAGAAAAGGTTCTTAAGTTTAAACCTAGGAGATATATTTCTTATTGCTCAAAGACATAACTAAGGGAGAGTTATAGCTCCTAGAAGATTACAAGAGAATTGGTAAAAACCAGCAAAATTTCCACGAGGAAAATAAAAGCTGTGCCTAACCCGTTCACATTCTGTAAAAGATAAAAACATGTAGAGTGCAATTTGAGCAAATTATTTATACTTTTCAAAGGCTCCTGATAAAAATCTATCACAAAACGTTATTACAGGAACTCAGGAACCACAGGGTAAAAGGTAAAATGTCTGCACCATGGATTTAAAAAGTGGTTAAAAATACAGAGGGAAGAGAGGATGAGTACAAATGGCTAATTCTCAGCATAGAAAGAGGTTAATAGAGAAATGCCCTGAGGATCCGTAATGGCCGTGGTCTGCCTAAGTATAACATATGGACATGGTCAGGAGGCTTGCCCTGATTTAGTTAAATGATCTTTCTGTATTTCACATTATATTAACCTGCTTTAGTGGCTCGCATGTATTTACTATTCAGTTTTCATGAAACTGCCTTAGTCTCTTCTGTTCATTCTTGTTTAGCCATTTCAGATCAGAGGGACACGTGTGTGTGATGTGGCAGATCTTCTGATCTTCTTGACAGCTCAACACATTGGAAGGTGAGGCAAAGTTTATTGCAATTTCACAGCTGGTGTAGGCAAGGAGCTCAAGCGCTGGGTGATTGCCATGATCTGCAGGGATGGGGGTCCAGGGGGATCCAAACCCACCAGTTCCCTGCCCCCAGATGCCTCATTTTCAGAGCTGCTAAATACCAGTCGCTGGGAATCACAAGTGAAGAGACTGTTTTTCTCAAGACCTCCTTGTGTGCATCCCATAGGTATCTGGTTGGCCATGGTGAAAACAAGAGGCTCGAATAGATAGGCCATTGCTTTGATGCAGCAAACTCTTCTTATGTTCCGGCCATCAGGGAGAAACTCGGACCAGTACTATGGCAGAGTGCCCTCAAATGGCAGTGCCAACAGAGACTGGAGGAAGGGCCAGTATGCACAATCCTACACTTCTTCGCCAATCCCCATTCTTCAACATCTAAGGAGGTGTTAGGATTGCTCTCAAAAACTGGAAATTTGTCACATCTATTGATGTATATGGCCAGGCATTTGTGGGGAGCTAAGTACCAGCCCAACCTAGACAGCATCTTAAAAAGCAGAGACATCACCTTGCCATCAAAGGTCCGTATAGTTAAAGCCATGGTTTTCCCAGTAGTGATGTATGGAAGTGAGAGCTGGACCATAAAGAAGACTGATCGCCGAAGAATTGATGCTTTTGAATTATGGTGCTGGATGAGACTCTTGAGAGTCCCATGGACTGCAAGAAAACCAAACCTATCCATTCTTAAGGAAATCAGCCCTGAGTGCTCACTGGAAGGACAGATTGTTAAACTGAGGCTCCAATACTTTGGCCACCTCATGAGAAGATAAGACTCCATGGAAAAGACCCTGGTGTTGGGAAAGATTGAGGGCACAAGGAGAAGGGGATGACAGAGGACAAGGTGGTTGGACAGAGTTCTTGAAGCTAGGAACATGAGTTTGACCAAACTGTGGGAGGCAATGGAAGACAGGAGTGCCTGGCGTGCTCTGGTCCATGGGGTCATGAAGAGTCGGACACAACTAAACAACTAAACAACAACAACAACAAGTACCAGCCCAGAGTACAACAAAAACAAACCTCTCTGACTCTGGGGGATTTGATTTGAATGTATTGCTACTGATGGGAACCTGTACCATGTCAGTATTCACAGGATTGGGTTGAAACCAACCACATGCCAAAATCTCCCTGAATATGAACATGGCTAGACATTTCCCAACATGTAAACTCTGCATAGTATGGTGATTTTGATGTGGGTGTGTTTTTGAGCCACTTATCCCTCACATATAATTTGGCCAGTGAAAGGACTATTGGCATATCTGAGTAGGTTTTCACTCCAACAAGACACTTGATATGGTGAGCGTTTTGCTGAAATGGAGAAGACAAAGATCTTGTCTCTTGAGGCAAAGATCAGAAATTTACTAGCAGCAGAAAGACTGTAGCAAGGGATGCTTGCGAATTTCAATATGAAATGGCAAGTTTTGCACCTCTTAAACCACTGTGTGGACCAGAACTTGGCTATCTACCATGTTGCACACTTCTCCAACTATTGCAATGTTTGGTTAGAATTTGTATTGTTACAGATGAAATTCAGAGCTAGTGCTAAGTATCAGACTCGGACTAGACAGAATCTGGTTCAAATCTCCACTCAGCTATGAAGCTTGGGCCAGTCACTACCTGTCAGCCTAACAAAACAGCCTAAAGGGCTGTGGCGAGGCTACAATGGGTGCAGTAAGAATGATGTGCCCTACCTGAGCAGCTTGGAGGAAGAGCGGGAATAAAATGTAATAAATAAATAATTGATGGATGCATCTTATTGAAAATTGTTGATTTTCTGTGGTATATACTATACATTTAATATGCTTAAACAAGGACTGGGGTAATCCCTTGGAGGGCATCATGGAATACTGAAGGCCTCATTCTATGTAGGTCTATCTACAGTACAGGAAGGGAAGTTTGTTGATGGAGGTCTTCCTGTCAGAGTTTTCCACCACTATGTGGTGGAACCACTCAGTGGTTCACCGCTAGCAAGAAAGAGCATGGGGCAAGGAGGTGTGTCAGTGGCCTAGAGTGACCAGTCTTTTGGGTATCCACAGGATCCTAGATGCCTTCGTTTCCATGACACCCACCCCCCTTGCCCCACAAAAAGAAAGAGCCAGAAACTGCCTCAATTCGAGAGGTGAAATTTTTATTTCCTTCCCATTGGAGGATGTGGGATCGAACAAAAGAAGGTCATTACAACCATTTGCAGGGCTTAGGAAGTATGTCACAAACTCCACACACACACACAAAACTTGTGCGTGTGCGCCATTAAGGTTAAGGTTTAGGAGATGTACAAATGGAACAACCACTGATATAGAAGTGCGCAGGGCACTGTTGTTCATGTGGAGCTCTTTGTACATATGAGAGCCCTGCTTATTATGGGATCTCAGCAACAGCAGCAGCAACAAAAGTACAGGTATGCCAAAACGGCTGCTGTGAATTTACACTCTCTCTTGGAGGGCCTGTTAAAATATCTCACATCTTTTAATTACAGGACTGGAAGTTTTCCCAGACTAAAGAATGCATCTGGACACTGAGAAGTTTTAAAAAGAACAATTAAAATGAAGTTAGTGACTGGATTATTTAAAAAAGATTGCATAAGAAATGTGGTCACTTTGAGAGTCAGTAGGTGTAGTGGTTAAGAGCGGTAGTCACGTAATCTGGGGAACCAGGTTCGCGTCTCCGCTCCTCCACATGCAGCTGCTGGGTGACCTTGGGCTAGTCACACTTCTCTGAAGTCTCTCAGCCCCACTCACCTCACAGAGTGTTTGTTGTGGGGGAGGAAGGGAAAAGGAGATTGTTAGCCGCTTTGAGACTCCTGAAGGGGAGTGAAAGGTGGGATATCAAATCCAAACTCCTCTTCTTCTTCTTCTTCTTCTTCTTCTTCTTCTTCTTCTTCTTCTTCCCCACCACACTTTCTGAAAATATAAGGAACAACTCTTGAATTGTGCAGTCATAAAAAAACATGTCTATGTTCTGATCCAGGCATTATCCAACAGAAGCATATATCCAAATACCACCTACCTGTTATGGAACTTATCACCTTTGCAACAGTTGGTCATTTTTTCTTCTTAAAAATGTCAATTTCATTTGAATATCTGCCATGAAATTTGGATGGCATACACTGCCTGATAGGTTTGAACTGAGATGGATGTTGTATTATTAATGTAAGCTGATATTTTACCTTTTTCTCACTTTTTTAATGTTAAACTTGCTTTAAAAAAATAAATAAATAACACACTTTCCTGAGAAGTGCAATTTCACACATCCCTCTGAATTGCAAATGTTGCTGTCCTTTGCATCTTCTCACCTCCTACTCCTGACTAAATGCCACAACTCTGTTTTTACAGTATTAATTCATTAAGAGGTAGAACAAATGCCAGCATCTCCCACTGTTCTTCTGAGCTGGCTTTGGTTCTGTTAAGCTGATCCATGCTGCCCTGAAAACAGAGCAGACTGGAAGGGGGTAATGTCAGCCTTCTTTGTTCCACCTTGCTCAAAGTAATCAAGCATAAAACAGGGCAAGCAAACAGGTGAGTCAAATGAGGACTTAATTGCTGACCAGAGAGATAAGCTGACTTATCTGCAACTTTAAATAAAACTTTTCTGTTTACTAAATCATCAACAACAACAACAACAACATCATCACCATCTACCAGTGGGTGGTGATTTAAGTAGCTGTACTGCAGATCATTTTGATTCCTGGATATGAAGCAGGTGTAAGAATGTTGTGAATGTTTCCAGTTGAACCCCAAAGAAGACAGGTGGAGAAAATGGGGACTGGATGCAGAAGTTCATACTCTCTCATTTAGAAAGTGGGTTCCCTACCAACTCTTCTGAAGATCACAGTGCATCTCACAATGGGGTTTAATCTACAAAGAGATGTATTTCCCAGTAGGGACCATGATGTGACTTTCAGGCAGTTTCAAATATTAACCTGCATCTATGTCCCCAGATGGATGTGTTAATGGACCCTCAAGTTACATACCACTCTGGATACGTAACTTTCGGGCTGCGAATGCGGCAAACCCGAAAGTGTATACGGTACTTCTGGGTTTCTCTGTGAGCGCATGCGCAAAAATGCTCCATGCGCTGCACACAATGCACAGAAGCTCTCTATCACGCCGCATGTGTGCGCAGAAGTGGCGCCTCCAGTTATGGACTTTTCAGGTTAAATACAGGCCCTCAGAATGAATTTATTTCGTATCCGGAGGATCCACTGTACAAGATGGCTTTATTCAGATCATAACATCCATCCATCCATATATCTCACTGGAGCCTAGAGATCAGTTTCCCAAAGGGAAACATGCTGTGGGTTTTAGTCAACAGCAGATTTGTAAAAATACATGCAAGTTGCCCATTTATTTATTTAAATATTGCTTAGAATCTTGTTTTCCAGTGGGGAACATGATGTGGCATTTTGAGAAGGATACAAACAAACTAGAATCAGCGCAGAGGAGGACAACCAAGATGGGCAGCAATGTGGAAAACAAATTATATAGAAAATGGCTGCAAATGATATGCAATCCTTATCTAAAACAAAACGGAGGGGGGGGTTGGCGGGGAATGATAAATGTAAATACTGTCTAAGTAACCAAGACTAAGACACAGACAAGAGAGTTTCTGTTGTGGTTCGAGGACCCGATCCCTGCTTTGTGGAATGAAGACACACAGACACAGAATATAAGGTTAATGGGCAAGAAAAGGCCACAACTTTATTGATTACAGCAAGTGAAAAAGTATTGGCTTAGGCATTGGACCACGACAGATTGACTCCACCCACTCGGAGAGGGGGTGAGCCCAAAGGGGGGTTTATTCACCAGAAGGTGGAGCCTGTTGATGCTAATACAACTATAGGCTCTCCCCTGATGTCACTGAGGGTCGTGCCATGGCCCCCCGCCACACAGGCATTGGACAGGATCCACGACCGCCGGATTCCTTTAACAGAATACCCAAAATTGAAGGGGTAAGTGAACGCAATACCCCCCTCCAAGCCTCACGGCAAAGTACTTCCCTATCTTCCGTGAGCGTAGTGACGACGATCTCTTGACTCGCGACGGGAAGGCGGAAAATGAGGCAGAAGGGCTGGTGCAGCAGTAACTTAAACTGCAATCCACGCCCCCTCCAAGCCGCCCGGCTGGGCGCTTACCTGTGGGCATGGTGTGCCAGCCAGGTGAGCGGGGGCAGGGGGCATAATGCCCCCTGCCTGACGCAGAAATCGCGTCCCACCCACAACACCTCCCCTCTTGTAGGGAGGAGAGGCTTTGTTGTTTGCTTGTATAAGGATGTGACTGAGATTGACTGGGAAATGATGGAAACTTAACAGGTATGAGGCTGGGTAGGATACTGTGAAGGAAACAAAACACAAGCTGAGCAAATGCCACCAAACTTCACCAAAGTCTTTCTGAGAGACAGTGTAAGCTTGCTGCATTTTAAGGCTTCACCATCCCTTCCTTCAAGCACTGTGATTGGAGAGCATTGGGTGAGATTCTAAGCCTGGATTGGAAACTAGAGCTCTCAATGAGCAAAGTTCAGGTCCCCTTGTCCCCCTCTCCTAACAAAGTGATTTAATTAATAATTGAAACATTTTGGAGACAGTCTTTCTGGCTTCAGAGAGATCATTTTTTTTAGTTCCAGATCAGTACACATTGTCCCAGAGCAATTCAGGTCCATTCAACCCAATCTGTAACAATCTGTAGCTACCTTGACCTGATCTAGATATGGCACAAATTGCCCCAGTTTGGTTTAGGATTTGGAAAGAGCTGTTTTCACCAATACAGACAGTTTCTCTATTAGGTCCAACCACCCCCACCCCCCATTTATATTTACAATGTAACATTTTAGTCAACCTGGAATCTAGAGCAAGGGCCCTCTGATTTTTGTCAAGAAAGTTTAATTATTTTGCTTAGGTTGTGTTCCTGAACAAACTTTGATCTGAATTAAATGTGATTTGCAAACACTGACCCTCTCTATGAAATAATTTAGAGGCATTGTGTGGTTATTGCATCATTTTTCGCAAGGTACTTAAAAGAAGAAAATGACCTCTCCAGATACATGGCCAGGACATATTTATATATAGAAATGAATAAGTGATCTGTGGTCTATGATACTCAAGTGCTCTAATAACACTGATATATGATGGAACCATTCTAGCCATGGCAATTAATCTCTTCTAAAGCGGCGCACCTGATGATAAAGAAGCGTGCTTGAGATCTGCCTTAAAATCTACAAGTCTTAAGAGCAAAAAAAATAAATTTTATCAGCTAAAAGGCTGGAGGCATGACACGCATGCAGGTTTGAGAAGAAAAAGGGAGGAATGGCTATGTTGTGTGATTTATAGTATCTGCCTGAAAAGAAAGCATGCTTCCTAACTGATGTAGGGCATTTTTGTGTGTGTAATACAGTGGAACCTTGGGTTGCAGATGCAATCTGTGACAGAAGCACATCCGCAACCCCCAGCGTTCATAACCTGCAGTGCTGCGTCTGCGCATGCATGCGACACGATTTGGCACTTCTGCGCATGCACGAAGCTCGATTTAGCACTTCTGTGCATGCGCAAGCGGCGAAACCTGGAAGCAATCCTTTCTGGTACTTCTGGGTTTCCCGCACTCCGCAACCTGAAAATGTGTAACCTGAAGCGTCTGTAACCCGAGGTACCACTGTAGATCTGATTGATTTAATGTATTGGGTTATATCTATCTATTATTTATTAATTTCATTTGTATTCCACCTTTTTACCCAAAGGAATCCAGGGTAGGAAACACTTCAGGAGGTGGTTCAGAGGAAGGATGTGCTCTTCCTGGTGTGCCTCAAAATCATCCACTTTGAAAGGGGGAGCAGGGATGCCCCCAAACTCCCAGCAGAAAGTCTCAGTGGTCACTGGGGAAGGGCTATATGAAATGTTGAACTTGTCCCCTTAGTTCTTAGTAAATCTGGTGCACAGCAAGATGGTAAAGGTAAAAAGGTTAAGGTAAAGGATCCCTGGACAGTTAAGTCCAGTCAAAGGAGCCAGCGTTTGTCCACGGACAGCTTTCTGGGTCATGTGGCCAGCATTATTAACCGCTTCTGGCGCAACAAGACACCGTGACAGAAACCAGAGCACACGGAAACACCGTTTACCTTCCTGCTGCAGCAGCACCTATTTATATACTTGCACTGGTGTGCTTTCAAACTGCTAGGTTTCCAGGAGCTGGGACAGAGCAAGCCCAAGAGGCTCAGTGGTTTAGACCACAGCGCCACCCGCAAAATGATACAAGTAGCATGGCAGTAGATGATATGCGCATCAAAAGGACCAAGTTGATTCTCAATTCCCCCCGCAAAAAAACCCCAAACCCCAAACACCCCACTATCACATTGGATCCTGCAAAAGGTTTGAATGATGAAGGAGAATGCTGAAATTAAATAAGCCTGGTGGCTTTTATTTATTTTGATGTTTATTGTAAATATATTTCAAGTCTCAATATGAGTTGTGTCCCTCCCTCCTTCTTCTTTTTAACTATAAAAAGGAAGTAAAACAACAGTTTATTGTGGCAATGCTTCATACTTCCCTACTTCTGTAAATTGTCTCGAAGCTCTAGGGTAAATACAAGAACATTCATGTTTTTAAATTGGATACAAAAGCGCTTTCTCTGCTGCCGCATAAATTGCTACATGGAGGCTATCAGAGATGTCTGAATATATTGCTGTTCAGCAAATTGCAAACAGTGTTGAGCTTTGCTTTAGCTTTGGTAGACACCCTCGGTGCTTTTGTTATTTATCTGTCTATCATCTATCTATATCTATCATCTATCTATATCTATCTATAGCTAGCTACCTAGCTAGCTATCTAAACAATGTGCTGGGTTCTACGGCGTATCAGTGCAGGAGTTCCCTGTTGCTAGCTATGAGGTCCTTGCTTGAAAACATCAAGGCAATGAAGCAGAAGACATGGGTGCCACAAATGGATTGCCTGCCATGTTCCCTCACTTGGCGGCCATTCTTTGCTCAGCATTCCAGGAAGGGGAAGATGTTGCAGGAGAGGCAGGGGTGGGCAATTCTGTCAGTTTCAGTTTCTCAGTTTTCC